AAACTGGGTCCCAAGGTGAAAAGGACATGGAACGTAACTGAAACTAACCACCATGAGCACAAGTGAAAAGTAAATCTTAATTGCTGTCATGAGATTTAATGGTTGTTTGCTAATGTGGCCTAACCTAAACTATTTTAATGATATATCTTTTTTTTATGTTTTTGTTGATTTTTTAGAGAAAGAGGGAGAGAGACAGAAACATCTATGGGAGAGAAACATTTATCAGCTGCTTCCTGCATGCCTCCTATTGGGGGTCAAGCCTGTGCCCTAACCAAGAATTGAACCAGCAATTTGTTCGTGCATGAGTCAACGATAAAGCAACTGACCCATAGCAACCAGGCAATGATGATATCCTACATAATAATTCTATATAATAAAAGGGTAATATGTAAATTGACCGAACAGCAGGACAACCAGTTGTTATAACGCACATTGACCACCAGGGGAAGATGCTCAACACAGGAGCTGCCCCCTGATGGTCAGTGCACTCCCACAGGGGGAGTGCTGCTCAGCCACAAGCCAGGCTGATGGCTGGGGAGCGCAGCAGCCTGCCTCCGTGGTAGCGCTAAGGATGTGTGACTGTGGCTTAGAATGGATAGCGAGCTTAAGCCGTCAACTGGGCATCCTCGGAGGGCTCCTGACTATGAAAGGGCGCAGGCCGGGCTGAGGGACCCTGAGCCCCAGTGCTCGGCCTCTAGTATCTTTACATGATGTGTGAGCTCTGATTGGTGATGTGTCTTTGAGTTGGAGCGGTTTGGACACTCACTGGATTCTACGTGGAGAGTCCTGGAGGGAAGAAGAGGATGGTGGGCTGTGAAGCCAGGGCAGCTGTGTGGTGGGGACTCTATGCACCTCCGTCACACAGGTAACTAACACAGAACGCACCGCCCACGGAGCCAGCAGCCGCTGTCACTGTGCCTGGTGCTCCAGTGCAGGAACTCCTCGGCCAGCGAGGTGAGTGAGTGATGGGGAGCCCAGCAATGCAGCCACTTGGAAAACTCCTTCCCACCTCCTGTGTCAGGGTAGGTGTGAGAAATGGGGTTACAGTGGGTGCAGGGGCTTATGGCTGGAGACGCAGTGACCCAAAGAAGCCCAGCTAGACACTGTATCCCGAAGAAGTTTCAGATGTCAGAAACCTCAGCACCTGGAGAGACCAGAGGGAGCAACATGAACATATGGAGACGAGATTGAACAAGGAAGATGCTTTCTGTTTTCCGGTGTGCAGTGATGGGCCTGGAGAGGTGTGACCCACAGGAAGGTCTGTCTGAGGCATTCCCATTTTCCTCGACCAGAGGAGCCCCTCCAAACCTGAAAGCAGACACGGTCAACTCAGGTTAGCAAACGCTTCACTGAACCGAGGGCCTGCCATGTGTATGAGAGGGAGGCAGTCTCACTTTCTGCATAAAACAAAAATGTACTGGGACATAAACACCTGAGAGGGAACACCTCGGAGGCCCCAGGAGAATAAAATTTTATCCTTGTAAGATAAACGCACGGTCAGTTCACACACACACACCACACACACTCATACAACCTGACCATGCAGATAATCTCAGTAAAGATAAAACATCAGAAACTGCACAGAGCATCATCATGCTATTGCATAGTAGATTAAAATAGAGCCTTTAACGTGTAATTAAGTAGCAATTAGTACCAATGTACTTTTCTAAATGCCTGCTCAGAAGAACTCATTAGAAACAAAGGTACCCTGTCTCTTCCATCCGAACGGAAGTACCTTCAGCACACGCTGTTGGAGAGTGGCAATCCCCACTGCTGAGAGGGTCAACGGTCCAGCCACTTGGGCATTTTTAAAATGCTTTTTTGACTAAACTATTCATACCTCTGGTACAGTATAAAAAGATCAGAAGCGCAGACGAAGATTTATGTAGCAAACAATAATGTCCGACAACAGGACTATGATTAAATAAATGATATATATAAAAATGTAACAAAATCATCACGTATAATTGTTAGTGCTTTCAATTATATAGGAAAATGGTTAGCAGATAATGTCAATTCAAAACAGCATAATATGAAATTGTATATATGGTATACTCTCAATATTTAAGAATATGTACATGAAAAAAATGACTGAAAAAGATATCTTAAAATTAATTCTAACAGTGATTGTCTCTACACAGTAGTATTATGGATGATAATTACTTACTTCTTTTTTTTTTATTATTATTATTTATTTTTAAATCAATCTTTATTGTTCATATTATTACAAAGGTCCCTCATTTCTTCCCCCCTCCACCAGGTTCCCACCCCACCCTCTGTCCCCCCCCCCATCCCCCATTGTCCTCATCCATAGGTGCAGTTTATGTTCAGTCTCTTCTTCCCTCAATTTCCCCAATAGTAAATCCCTTTTCAGATAGTAAATCAGTTACTTAGCATTTTCTCATATCAATAATACCTCCACATGCCCAATGATACACTTCACACAAAAGACATTTCCCACTAGGTCAACCAGCCTCATCCAGGCCCCACCCAAGGCACTCACAGATCAACACCCCAGTCCTAAACTAACTCAACACATCCAGATCTAAGCCTTCTTCATCACTTGATTCAGCAGAACCCTCAAGTTCCCACGAAAGTTTCCAGCCATGTCTGAGAAGCAGCCATGGGGCAGGGGCAGGCAAGGAGTGAGCTGTTCTGGGCCTGGCTGCTCAGGGCCTGGCCTCTGTTGCTCTGGTTCATTCCACAACCAGCTGCTCCGGGTCTGGTCACTGCCGCTCCCGACCTAGTTGCTCTGGACTTGGCTGCTGCTGCTCCGGGCCTGGCCGCTCCCAGCCTGGCAGCCGCTGCTCCGGGCCTGGCCGCACCCGACCCGCCTGCTCCCCCGGGCCTGGCCGCTCCCAGCCTGGCAGCCGCTGCTCCGGGCCTGGCCGCACCCGACCCGCCTGCTTCCCCGGGCCTGGCCGCTCCCAGCCTGGCAGCCGCTGCTCCGGGCCTGGCCGCACCAGCCCCGCCTGCTCCCCCGGGCCTGGCCGCTCCCAGCCTGGCAGCCGCTGCTCCGGGCCTGGCCGCACCAGCCCCGCCTGCTCCCCCGGGCCTGGCCGCTCCCAGCCTGGCAGCCGCTGCTCCGGGCCTGGCCGCACCAGCCCCGCCTGCTCCCCCGGGCCTGGCCGCTCCCAGCCTGGCAGCCGCTGCTCCGGGCCTGGCCGCACCAGCCCCGCCTGCTCCCCCGGGCCTGGCCGCTCCCAGCCTGGCAGCTGCTGCTCCGGGCCTGGCAGCACCTGACCCGGCTGCTCTGGGCCCGGCTGCCCCGGGCCCGGCCGCTCCGAGCCTGGCCACTCCCGACCTGGATGCTCTGGGCTTGGCTACTGCTGTTCTGGGTCTGGCTGCTCCCACCCCGGCTGCTCTGGGCCCGGCTTCTTCGGGCCCGGCCACTCCGGGTCTGGGTGTTCCTGGACTGCCACCCTGGGCTTGGCCGCCTCCGCCTCATGCCTGGCTGCCACTACCCCAGGTCTGGCTACTCCAGTGCTGGCTGTTGATGCTCTGGTTCTGGCTGCTGTTGTTCTGGGGCCTGGCCGTTGCTGCTCCGGGTCTGGCTGCCACTGCCTTGTGCCTGGCCACTCTAGGCCTGGCCGTCGCTGTTCCAACATTCTGTCCTTTTTTTTTCTTTTTAAAACGCATTTATGTTGCAATGTTGGCTGGTGAGTTGAGTTCTGACTTAGTCTTTGATTTTTTCAAGAACTTCTTTGTATTCTTTCTTAAGTAATTTTACTATTTTTTGCTCTCACTTGATTTCTTCACATTGAGAACTTCTTTGGTTTCTTCCTCCTTGTCCTGGGAGCTCAGCAGGTTGGCCTGTGGCACCCCTTTGTTCTCCGTGGGCTCCTGTGCTGCTTCAGCCTGTTGCCGGGACGGCGCCGCCCAGGAAGCAGCCCCAGGCCTTGGCTCCATTGCCCGAGCTCAGTGGTCAAAGGCTCAGGGGCACCCACGCCCCCAGGGGCCCCGTGGCCCGCCTCCTTGCTGGTGCCCGGTTGGCTGGAGTCCGGCAGGGGCTTCCGCTCCCCTCCGCGTTCCCCCAGCCTAGAGCTTTTTTTTTCTCCTTCCCGCTAGGGAAGTCCAGCATCAGAGTCAACAGACTGTCCTCTGCGCGCAGTTTGCGTGAGTCCCGGGGGCCCGGCCTTTCGCCGCTCTCCCCGGACTCCACCTCACAGCCCCGTCTCCCTCTGCCTGAGCCTGGGTCCCCAGGGATTGGCCCAGAACTGGGGTTCGGAGCAGTCCGGACTGAGGCTCAGCGCCGCCGGAGGCCTTGTTTCTTCCGGCTAGGGTAACTCAGCATCAGAGTCAACATTCAGTCCTCTGCGCGCATTGCGCGCGACTCCCGGGGCCCTGCCTTTCGCCGTTTTTCCGCCTCACGGCCCTGTCTCCTCCCGCCAGAGCCTGGGTCCCCAGGGTCTGGCCCATAACTGGGGCTCAGCGCTGCCGGTTCGGGGGGGCTCAGCGCTGCCGGTTCGGGGGTTCAGCCCAGGCTGGAGGTTTTATTTCCTTCCTGCTAGGGAAGGAAAGGCGGCTCCCCGCCCTCTCCGTGCGCGCGTGCGGGCGGGCAGGCGCGCGCAGCATGTCTCCGTACCTTAGGCTTTTTTTCAGCTCCTCTGATTTTCTTTCTGGTTTTCTCTTTCCTTCTTGTTGTAGAAATTTCAGTCAGTCGACTACCTGTAGCTCTGGGCAATGTCCACTCTACATTTTAGTTGTATTCCATTGAAATTGTTGTGTGCTGCCGCGGCTAGATGTCTACCCGAGCAGCCATCTTGGATCCCCTAACAAATTCATTTTTCGATAATTACTTACTTCTTAATACATTCCTGTATTCCCCCAAATTTCCATAATGATATATTTAAAAAAAAAATTTTGTAAAAGTATTCCTAAATAATATTAAAGAATAACTCAGTGAGACAATAATACATTATTGTTAACATAATGTGAGGTGATAAATGTGCTAACTAACCTCATTGTAGTCATCATTTTGCAAGTATAATTGCATGAAATCATAGCCTTGCACACCTTAAATTTCCACATGTTATGTGTCCATTATTTCTCAAAACAGCTGGGAAAAAATTAATGACATTATAAATCAGTTTACAAAAACTCAAAACAGCACTCAGAAAAAAAATTATACTTTGAGTATACAGCAATAAAAACAAAAAAAATTACTAAATGCACATATAAAATACAAATGAATTTTATTTATAAATGTATAGATTTACACACTTAAAATATCTAAATACCAGTTAGAATTGCCAAGAAGAGTAAATAACATTTCTGTTCAAAGCTAGGGAAAAAAGCACAAGGCACTGCAATACAAGGGAGTAAGTGCTGTGTTAGAGAGTTGAGGACTCTCTTGGGGTCAGGAAAGGTTAACCGGCATTTAAAGAACCGAATTCTACCAGGTTTTAAGGCAGGTGAAGGGAAGAAGGGGGACACCGAGAGAGAGGGAACTTACAAACGCAGTCACAGGATCAAAAGCCGCAAGTAGGTCAGCACAGACAACATTGGCCTGCATTTTAAAAACGTAATATTTAAAGATCAGAAAATCTGGCTTTCTGGCTTCTTTTGTCAAAATGGACAATTGAACAAACTGGACCAAGTTCTCACATGAAAAGGAGAGGCAATGGCCCCCTTTCGATGGGACAATTTGCCACAGCTCTTCCTCTTTACCCTCTTCCTCTTACATCCAGCTCATTTTATCCGTAACTCCCCTTTCTGGTCCCTGTAGCTGTCCGAGTTTATGACTCATATCCTACGTGACCGGGACCAATAAAAGTAATGGCAGGAAAAAGCAATATGATTAGGACAGGATTCCAAAAGGTCAACCAGGCAGCAAAAGGGAAGGCAGAGGGAGAGAAAGGGGTAAGGAGAGGAACGAAATCCACAAAAGTCTATTACATCAACAATTGAAATGGGGCACCACATGGAAGGAGAATAACCTAGCACCTCCCACAAAACACTCGCAAGACACGACCTGAAAACCACCGAGTTCTAGAAGAGTGAGGAGGGCTTTAAATAGGCAGTGCTGGGGGAATGTGAAGAAAGGCACGGACAAGGATAAAAATCTGATAGATTTCTGAGGGGGAAAAATCTCCAACATTAGGTAACCAATCTGACATTGGGACCAGGAGAAAGAAGAGTATTAGGGCACTTTGCAGGCTTTGGGCTTAAGTCATTAGATGTGAAAACGTCAACATTTTTTTTAAAAAAAGGGGGAAAGGAGAAGAACAGTTGGGAGAAAATGTACTAATCCTTCAATTTAGAATATGTTGAATTTGTGGAGCCTAGAGATGTATAGCTTCAACTCATAAGGCCCAATAAATTGCCAAAGAAAACTTATCTCTGAATCTAACTCTGTAACAGCTGATTGTCAGGTATGATTACATAAAATATTTCTACAGAATGAATACCAAAGAACTAAAATTAAAATATTATAGAATTGAATAAAATATTGCAACAGAAATTACAAAGGGTCAGTAACTTCATATATAAGCACATAATTATAAGATACATGAAGGAAACACAATAATATAAAAGTCTACCAGGTCTCTTAATGTGAAGGATATGCATCTATCTACTACACTGTTTCCATTAAGAACTGAAGATGGTTTACAACAAAAATATACGTAGTACAATGATATAATGTAAATAATGATAATAATAAAATGTAAAAATACTTTAAAAAAATTAGCACCAGGAGAAATCAGAAAGGAAGAAGGAACAAGACATGCACGCTGTGAGGGCTTTCAGAAACACCACTGTTGACAACCAAACCGAAAAGAGTAAAAAAAGTTGCATGACTTTCACTGTCCATTAGGAGAAACACAGCAATTTCTCCTTTTACAAAGGACATTTTTTTAAAAACACTTCCCCCAATGCAAAAGACAGAATTTCACAACAAAAAACTTTCTAAATTAAGTAAAGTTAGCCTTACAAAAAACTCACTACCTTGCCCCTATTTCTCAAATGTCATGCTATTGCAGGACAGATAAATATTTCTAAAAAGACTCCACACAGACATTTGGGGATGTTGCGACAGCAAACACAGGGAAGGGTTCCATAAAGTGCTTCTCTGTGGTACCCTTTGATGGGAACAAAGAACCAAACATCTGAGCATCACTGGACGAAGACATCTGGGTGAGGGAAGAGGGGAGAGGGAGGGGCAAGTGAACCTGAAGAGGGTGAGGTATATAGATCTCTGATGGTCCATCGTGATCCATAAAAGAAAGAATACAATTTTGAGAAATGGATGAACTACACATCCTTCAAACCACAGCAATTAGGCTTTGGACAAAGTTTCATAAGAGCAGAATAGAAGTGAGGTAGAAATCTCTGGCGAGCACCCAAAAGTTATATACTCTCCGGGTTGCCTGAGGATGTAACCACAAGAGATGAATATTATATGAGCACAGCCTTTCATAAAAATTAAGGAGCCTAACTAACGGCCATCCCACATTGGCACAAAGGAGGTAATTACAGGCCCCCGCAATTAACAAAATGCACAAAACAAAGACCTACAGAAAGCAGGTACATAAAAATATTCACTCACATATACATTTGAAGAAATGCAAACCAAAAGACAGCATCATTTTGCAACTATAAGCTAAGCAAAAGACTAACTTTAAAAATTCAATAGTGTGTGGATTATAAGAAAAGAGTTATATTCAAAATTTGTTAGAAAGAATCAAAATTTCCCAGAATAAGGGAAACAGTTAAGAAAACTATGATATACTAATGTATCTGTGCATAAAAGTGATAAATATGAACAAATATGAGAAGATGCTTAACATACTCAAACTGTACATATGGGCATACAAACATGTGGATGGGTCACACAGCCAGTCAGCAAAACCTGCCTGTTTAAGAGCTCTGCCGGCCAGCCCGGAAAGCTCTCAGGAACTGCCGTCCCAGGGCTTGCCCAGCACTGACTCCATCTGCACCCCAGTTTACCCTCTCTTTGCCTGCTCAAGGTCCAACCTCATCCCCAACCGTATCCTCCACATCTGACAAGGTCTCCTTTTCGGTCTTCTTTCTCTCTCACAACACCCTGTGAGGTAGGTATTTTAAAGAAATAATTAAATGAATGAATAGCTGCAAATCAAAGCTCAAAACGGAAGCTTTGTTTCCAGACCTTCCAACTGGACAAGCTTCTTCCTTCAGCGACGTCCTTCACGGTTTACCTGCGCTTGGCTTCTTGGCCGCCTGGGCAGGGGCAGAAGCCGGGGGACGGGCTTCTGCAGCCCCAGGAGCTGGTCTTCCTTGCTTCTCAAGGCCCTGGGAGTGCTCCACAGAAGCAGCTGAATTATCTAAGAAGAAGAAGAGGTGAGGTTTCCTAAGACACTCCTAGTACCATTTCTAAATTTCATTTCTTATTGGGAGCATTCGTCCAGCGAATCAGACCTCAGAAAGAAGTCTCAATTTGGAGATTTTGTGTCTTCTGGATTTAAAATATAGTAGCCCTAGCCAGTTCGACTCAGTGGAAAGAGCGCTAACCTGCAGACTGAAGGGTCCTAGGTGACCTCCTGCACACCCCACACAACCCAGGCGTGTGCCCTTCAATTCCAGTGAAGGGCACACGCCTGGGTTGTGTGGGGTGTGCAGGAGGCAGCAGATCAATGATTCTCTAACACTGATGTTTCTATCTCTCTCTCTTTCTCCCTTCCTAGTTGAAATCAATAAAAATATATTTTAAATACACACACACACACACACACACTTATATATGTATGTATTAAACACACACAGAGCAAGCAGAAAGAAACTATTTCATAGTTAGGGGAGAGCCACGAAACAAGAGCAGATGAAGATAACGACAGACCCTATACGTAATACAGAACAGAAGGTCCCTGCCACCATTCAGGGTCCTTAACCTCCCACACCAGCATATGCAAAGCCCTCCCCACCTTCTCCCCACCTGCCTAGCAAGTTGGCCACTACCACCCCAACATAAGCAAGGTCCATAGTAAAAGCTTAGAGACTCTGATTTGGTGATACGGTTTTCCCATCAAGAATTCTCATGAGTCTACCATCCAGTGAAACTGATCTTCAGCTACAGGCAAATCTAACAGAATAAGTAACCTGAATGCATTCTAATGAAAAGAACACCAGCCAAGACTGGTTTGGCTCAGTGGGTAAAGCATCAGACTGCGGACTGAAAGGTCCCAGGTTCAATTCTGGTCAAGGGCATGTATTCTGGGTGTGGGTACATCCCCAGTAGGAGATGTGCAGGAGGCAGCTGATCGAAGTTTCTAACTTTCTATCCCTCTCCCTTCCTCTGTAAAAAAATCAATTAAACACACACACACACACACACACACACACACACACACACACATAAATATATATATAAAAGAACACCAAATCATACTTTGTAGACCTTAAAAAGTGACAGACTAAGCAGTGAGATGGGAAGATGGTTATGATGTTGTACAGAGTGACAGTTTAAGATGCTAAACCAAAACATACTTTGACTACAACTGGACTGGTCTTCATAAAGTAACAAAACTGAAGGGCTTTTGAGTAAATGGTAACAATTACTATGCATTTCAATAAGTGATCTTTTGCAATTTTTATCTTTATTCTATGATCCAAATTTTTCAATAATGTGCTTAAAATCTCCTAACAATTAAAAAAGAAAAAAACTTTAATTCAATTTAATAAAAGCCATCCTTTACCTTTCTAGTCACTGGTCCATCTCCCTCCTCTCTTTTCCTAATGAAGCTCTTAAGACTGGTCTATCTGCCTACTAAAACCGATTTGGCTCAGTGGACAGAGCGTCAGCCTGCGGACTGAAAGGTCCCAGGTTCGATTCCGGTCAAGGGCATGTACCGTACCTTGGTTGCAGGTACATCCCCAGTGGGGGGTGGGGGGGTGTGTGTGTGTGCAAGAGGCAGCTGACTGATGATTCTCTCTCATCGATGTTTCTAACTCTCTCTCTCTCTTCCTCTCTGTTAGGAGGAGGAGGAGGAGGAGGAGAGGGAGGAGGAGAGGGAGGAGGAGGAGGAAGGAGGAGGAAGGAGGAGGAGGAAGGAGGAGGAAGGAGGAGGAGGAAGGAGGAGGAGGAAGGAGGAGGAGGAAGGAGGAGGAGGAAGGAGGAAGAAGGAAGGAGGAAGAAGGAAGGAGGAAGAAGGAAGGAGGAAGAAGGAAGAAGAAGAAGAAGAAGACGACGACGATAACTGGTCTATCTACTTCCTGGACCCCAACTTACCAAGGAGCTACACTGCTCAAGCACGGGACAGGTGCCATCAGCTGGCAGCCCTGAACATAAACTCCATCCCTTCCCTGCTTTGGTGACAATCACAGTTCTGTATCATAAAACACTGACTGTCCTTAACCTGCCCTAGGACAGCGCTCGACACTCGTGAAGTGCTTTCTCCCCAGACTCACTTTCAGGTCAAAATTAAGTGTGAGGCCTGGCCAGCACGGCTCAGTGGCTGAGCATCGACCTATAAACCAGGGGGTCACCATTTCAATTCTCAGTCAGGGCACCTGCCCAGGTTGCAGGCTTGATTCCCAGTGCAGGGCGAGCATACAGGTGGGTAGCCAACCAATGATTCTCTCATCATGGATGTTTCTCTCTCTCTCCCTCTCCCTTCCTCTGAAATCAATAAAAATGTGTGTGTGTGTGTGTGTGTGTGTTTAAAAACTACATCAATGATGGAGTTTTTTTTTTTTTTAAATATATTTTATTGATTTTTGTACAGAGTGGAAGGGAAAGAGATAGAGAGTTCGAAACATCAATGAGAGAGAGTCATTGATCAGTTGCCTCTTGCACACCCCCTACTGGGGATATGCCCGCAACCAAGGTACATGCCCTTGACTGGAATCGAACCCGGGGCCCTTTAGTCCCCAAGCCGACGCTCTATCCATTGAGCCAAACCGGTCCCGGCAATGATGGAGTTTTGTCTACCTCTGACATCCTCACCTTTATTTTCCAGCATCTTGTGCAGCTTCTCGTGCCTGTAGGTAGAGATGATCTGGAAATTGACGACACTGGAAACATTCAGTCCTTGGTCCTCCAGCAGCTTCAGGGATGCCGCCTGGATGAGCTGGTGGGACCGTTTGCATTTCTGAAGCCTGCACTCCCCCCTGACGAAGGACTTGCACACGTGAAACTTGTTGCATTTGTCCTTGAGGATGCAGTAGCCATGCAGGGCTTCCCCTTTGTTGTAGCACAGACAGACCTGGGAGAGAAGTGAGGCAGCGCTGAAAACACTGGTTGGCACTGTATCTTTTAAGCCAATAAATAACAATTTCTCTAACTGGCAACCTCTGGTCATCAATGGCTGTTAAAATCATTGGGTGGGCCCTAGCCAGTTTGGCTCAGTGGATAGAGCGTGGGTCTGCAGACCGAAGGGTCCCAGCTTCCATTTAAGTCAAGGGCACGTACCTCGTTTGCAGGCTTCTCTCCACCCCGAACCTGGTCAGGGCGTGTGTAGGAGGCAACCAATCGATGTGTTTCACTCGTGTCAATGTTTCTGTCTTTCCCTCTCTCTTCCACTCTCTCTGAAAATCAATGGAAAAAATACCCTTGGATGAAAAAAAAAAAAATGCACTTTTTATAAAATCATTGGGGGGAAGGCAGATGGGTAGTTAGTTACTCCTGCCCAGATCTCCCCCCAGCTGTTGCTAACTCACAGCTGCCTCTCTCTGACTTTGACCTTCTGTGGACCTACCTTACTGTCCCAAAGTCTGTAGCCAATGAGTGAATTCTAAGCAGGCAGAAAGGCTGGCCCTTTGCCGCCATTCTTCAGTGTGATTGCAGCTCGGGCCCCGCCATGAGTCAAGTCAAGGCTTGATTTTGTCTTGTGTGTAGCTTGTCCTTCCCTGTAACCTGCTTCCCTCTTTTTTTTAATCTTAGCAAGTTTTTGCAAGGAGCCCTACTTCAAGAAATCACACACCTAAATCCTTCTGTGGGGAACCAACCTAGACAAGTAGTGGGAACAGACAATTCGTCAGCCAGACAAGGGCATTTTTTTAGGAAGCACTATTAATAATTACATTAGGGCAACGGATGTAAACTGGGTCTGTCCCAGGTGAACCAAGACCCTCCTGGTGGGGACCTTTATAATGATGGGTCAGGCTGTCAACTCTAAACACACGCATCGATCTTAAGCTCACACACAGAAAAGATGAGCAGGCATCGTGTCCCTCCTGGCGACGCAGTAGGAATGCACCTGACTCAGGACATACCTGACCTGGCTTCAACCATCTGAAGAAATGAGAAAGGGGATGGGCGCCAAGAAGAAACCTCCCAGCTCCTGGGGCTGATGCCAGTGCTGCCTGTGGGTACAAGCTGCTGCCCTGAGGGCAGCCTCTGCCATCTGAACCACAGGCTCCAGCTTTGGGCCTTCTTCCCTTCCAGACCCTGCAGTCTCTTAGTTAAAATGGGGCCACAGCCACAAACTACCCTCTCCTTCCCAACACCTCCCTTCCTCTCCTCCCTCTTCTGGCAAGTTGTGAGGAGGAGTAGAATCACTGTGCCAGACTAGAAAACTCAACTTTTAATTGGTGGTCTCTTATAAAATTTTATTTTAGGGGTTCTAACTATTTTTTTAATAAATACATTTTTTAATCCTCACCTGAGGATATTTTTTTCATTGATCTTTAGAGAAAAAGAGAGAGAGAGAGAGAAAGAGAGAGAGAGAGAGAGAAGAAGGGTGGGAGAAGCGGAGAGAGAAAGAGAGCTAAACATCAATGTGAGGGACCATCCACTGGTTGCCTCCCCCACAAGCCCAACCAGGACGAGGGCTCGAACCTATAACTGAGGCACGTGCCCTGGACCGGGAATTGAACCCAAGACCCTTCACTCTAACCACTGAATAAACTGACCAGGGCTTTTAATTTATATATTGATTTGAGAGAGAGAAACATTGGCCTGCTGTTCCATCCATTTATGCATTCATTGGTTGACTCTGGTATGTGCCCTCATGGAGGATCAAACTCATAAACTTGGTGCATCAGGATGATGCTCCAAACAATTGAGCTAGAAATCCAACTATTTTATTTTTAAAAAGTATTTGTGTCTAGCTAAACAGATACAAACATACTAACTTCATTCACCATTATAGCAGTTATAATGGGTATTTTTTAAGTATAAAACTGAGTCATGTTGCTTTGAAGCAATTAAAATTTACATCTAAGGCCCCCCAAAAAAGTAAATGGGGGTCAATATTTGTAACAAATATGACCAGAAAATAAATTTTTATTATTAAAGACATCTTATAAATTAACAGGAAAAGACAAATGCCTCCATTAAAAAAAAAAAAAAAAATTAGGCAAAAGCATAAACGGGCAATTCACAAAACACCAGCTTCATAAACAGACCTAAATTCAAATCTGCCATTTATTATGTGACCCAAGGCAAGTTAATCTATCTGAGACTCAGATTCCACACCTATAAGATGGGGGCAAGTTATTAATGTATATAAATTGCTTAGCATCTAGTAAACACTCAAAAAACCAGGAGCCTTTATAATTACTTCTATACCATGGGGGTCCATCCCTCCCTGAGTATCAGAATCCAGTAAAATCAGAGAGTCCGGAAAGGTCACCATCCCACCCCCGTACACCTGAGGCCTGGGCAGACAGGGAGGGAGGCTCCTTGGTGACTCACCTCTGGTAAAAGGCAGGGGTCGTTCTGTAAGAGCAGAATCCGAAGCTGGGCCTCATTGAGGCCAAAAAGCCCATGGTTTTTCAGCACTTGGATGTTGACAGGTGTGTGGATATCATGGGAAAGGGTACAGGTAGACCTGGAACACAAAGGCTCTGCATCAGAAGCCTAGTCAGTGGTCAGCAAACCCATTAGTCAACAGAGCCAAATATCAATGATTGAAATTTCTTTTGAGAGCCGAAAACCGACTTCTGCAAGTGGGCCAGAATCGCACAGTACATGCACGCGCACGCGCACGCGCGTGGTATTTTGTGGAAAAGCCACACTCAAGGGGCCAAAGAGCCGCATGTGGCTCTCGAGCCGCAGTTTGCCGACTAGGGCCTAGGTGAAGCGGCCAATCTGTCCAATTCTTTGCCTACAGTCACTTTCAACTTGCATGTGAAGTCAATAAACAGGGACACCAGGTACTGCAGCCTAACAAGCTCTGGTAATAGAAAAGCTGGGTTGATGCAACTCCGTTCCCGAGGTCATCTTCGTTTTAAATGAGGATATTGAAAGCCAAGGGTAGCCCCCACCCCCAGTCGCCCGCCCTGACAGGGGGTGCCCACCTGTTCTGCAGGTGAGTGCACTTGTCTGCCCACCCCACAAGCCACCGACGTTAAAAAGAAGGCCCGCCCCCACCCCCACTCTGGGGAGCTGGAGTAAACCAAGGGAGAGACTCAGCTGGCCTCTCGGAAGTCAACCACCCCTCCGTTTCCTGGGGGTCGGACCAGATAGGTCTTTATAAACCCAGAAGGAGAGATTAGCTTCCGTAAAACTTTGTGACTGGGTGGGAGGAGGCAATCTCTGCATAAAGGGCCCAAGGCCCTGACGGGATTCGCAAATGCTCCCCCAAAAGGAGCACCGGAGACAACTCCCAAGTCCCAATCCTGGCTTACCAGGACCCGCGACCAGGGATGAGAAGCGGCTAAGAACCTCAAACTGGCCGAAACCTGTTTGGCTCAGTGGCTAGAGCGTTGGCCTGGGGACTGGAAGGTCCCAGGTTCGATTCCGGTCAAGGGCATATACATTGGCTGCGGGCACACAGGGGGTGTGCAGGAGGCAGCTGGTCGATGTTTCTCTCTCATCGATGTTTCTAACTATCCCTTTCCCTTCCTCCCTGTAAAAAATCGATAAAATATATATTATTTTTTTTAAAAAGGAAAGAAAAGAAATCCAAACTGCCCTGAGCTCCCGCCTCCTGCGGCGCCGGAGCTGGGAGCACAAGTCAGGCGTCCCCAGGCTTCCCTTCCGCCCTTTCCCGGGAGGGCGCACCCCCGGGCCCCCGCTTCCAGCCTGAGGGTCTAGGCCCGCGAGGGGGGGGGGTCGTGATACCGCCTGCGTCCGGGAGGACACCCGCCCCTGCCCCCCGTCACCGGGCCCCCCGCGCCCCGGCCCCCCGCCCCCACCGCCCCGGCCCCCACCGCCCCGGCCCCCCGCCCCACCGCGCCCCGGCCCCCCGCGCCCCGGCCCCGCTCACCAGCAGTCGCGGTGCGGGCACTTGCCCTGCATGTGGCGGCGGCAGAGGTGCAGCTGGGCGCAGGCCTGGCACTCGCCGCGCTGGTAGCGGGCGCACAGGCGCGCGGAGGACACGGCCACCACCCGCCAGGCCGCGGGGCCGCCGCCCGCGCCGCCCGCGCCCGCCGCCACCTCGGCCTCGGGGTCCCAGGGCCCCGCGGGCACCGCCACCTCCTGCAGCAGGAAGCGGTCGGGCCCCGCCTGGCGCAGCACCGCGCCCAGCCGCGCCTCCGACAGCTCCACGTGGGCGCGCAGGTCCGGCAGGAGCATGCGGCCGCCGTGCGCGCACAGCACCTTGGTGAGGAAGGAGCACACGGTGGGCTCCGCCATGGCGCCCGGCGCCCCGCGGCCAGCGCGCTCTGCAGGCCAGGCTCCTCCCAGTCACGTCCGCGGTCTCGGACCGTCTGGGAAGGGCGGGGGCCGCGGTCCCCCTGGAGGCGGACCGAGCAGGGATAGTGCTCAGTACTGTACTGAGCTCCTGCTCGGTGCCAGGCGGGTCCCAGCCTGGCGGGGAAGAAGGGGGTTGGATGAGGGAGGTGTCTCGCAAACAAATGAGAGATTTTGAGGGACTAGTAAGGGCTGCAAAGATGAAATAGATGAGTTCAACAAAAAGTCTTTTTAAAAAAAATACATTTTTATTTATTTTTTACAGAGAGGAAGACAGAGGGATAGAGAGTTAGAAACATCGATGAGAGAGAATCATCGATCAGCTGCCTCCTGCACACCTCCCACTGGGGATGTGCCCGCAACCAAGGTACATGCCCTTGACTGGAATAGAACCGGGACCCTTCAGTCCGCAGACTGAAGTTCTATCCTCTGAGCCAAACCGGTTTCGGCTCAACAAAACATCTTAACTTCCACTGCTGAAGTGTCTAAAAGAAAGGGTTTATTTATTATTAGCAAAATACATAAATAAAAAATAAGGCCAGTTTTCGGGCATGGCATCTAAACCACCCGCAGCATGCTAGGTAGGAAAGGCAACATGTCCATCCTACTGGAGTTTTGCAAATGGTTTTTTTTTTTTTTTTTTTTTTAACTTTTTTATCTCTTGAGAGAGGAAGGGGTAGAGAGAGAGAGCAATCTAGATTTGTTGTCCTACTTATTTATGCATTCATTGTTGGTTCTTTTTTTTAAGCTTTTATTGATTTCAGAGAAGAGGAAGGGGGAGGGAGAGACAGAAACATCAATGATGAGGCAATCATAGGTAGGCTGCCTCCTGCTTCCCCTACTGGGGATGGAACCTGCAACCCCCCCGCATGTGCACTGACCGGAACCCATGGACAACCTTCTGGTTCACGTCCTGCTCAACCACCCTGCTGCACAGGCAGGCCTCCTTGGTTGAGTCTTGTATGTGCCCTTACCAAGGACCCAACCTGCAACCTGGGCGTGCGGAGTGGATGCTCTGACCAAATAGCCAGAAGCAGCCCAAGGAAATCTGTGAAGAAAGAAAAGGCATTCAAGCAGAAGCAAAAAAGGGAGCAGAAGAAACCTGAGGAACTAAAAGTCAAGATGGTGAAGGGCCATCTGGCCACAGGTAGAATTAAGAAATTGCCGGCCGTGCCGAGACCAGTTTGGCCCAGTGGATAGAGCGTCGGCCTGTGGACTGAAAGGTCCCAGGTTCGATTCTGGTCAAGGGCATGTACCTTGGTTGCAGGCACATCCCCAGTAGGGGTGGTGCAGGAGGCAGCTGATTGATGATTCTTTCTCATCGATGTTTCTAACTCTCTATCCCTCTCTCTTTCTCTCTGTAAAAAATCAATAAAAAATATTTTTTTAAAAAAAAGAAAGAAAGAAAGAAAGAAAAAGAAATTGCCAGCCGAAACCGATTTGGCTCAATGGACTGAAAGGTCCCAGGTTTGATTCCGGTCAAGGGCATGTACCTTGGTTGCGGGCATATCCCCAGTAGGGGGTGTGCAAGAGGCAGCTGATCGATGACTCTCTCTCATCAATGTTTCTGACTCTCTATCTCTTCCCTTCTCCTCTGTACAAAATCAATAAAATATATTTAAAAAAAAAAAAAAAAGAAAGAAAAACATCTATCAGCTGCCTCTTGCACACCCCCTACTGGGGATGCACCCGCAACCAAGGCACATGCCCTTAACTGGAATCAAACCTGGGACCTTTCAGTCCCCAAGCCGACACTCTATCCATTGAGCCAAACCGGTCCCGGCTGATCCATGTTTTTCTATCATCAATGTTTCTAACTCTTTGTCCCTCTCTCTTCCTCTCTGTAAAAAATCAGTAAAATATATATTTTTTAAAAAAAAAGAAGAAAAGAAATTGCTGGAAACTGATCATTGTCTCGCTAATAGAAAGATGTAGACAGGAAACCCAGAAGGCTGATCAACAACCCTAATTGCTTTGAAAGGTCAGAGCTATCACTTACTGTTTAGCTGGAACATTGTTAGCTGAAACAGCTTCCCATTAGTCTTACATAAATTTCTGTTATTGGATTTCCTGCCTAAAGGCTATGGGTGTATCCCATAGTCTTAATAAAAAGGGATAGCGAGGCCAGAGCGGGGTATAGTCCTCTCTTGGGCTCCAGCCTGGCCCCCAATATTCCCAAATTAATACTTTTCTAAATCTCTTTCATTTGTGTGCAGCCTTCTTCAGAACTCGAACCCTGAACCACATGGGAAGTGAAAGGGGTTCCCACAGGAAATCTGGCAAAAAGTGAGCTGCTTCTTGAGCGTGGGGCAATGGTGATCCTTCATTCCCTTCCTGTCTTAACATCTGGATTCTCTGTCATAACATCTCTTGCCACCTATAGCTAGAATAAGTGTTGTCTTGGAGCCTGCTGTACATTGAATAAACTTTTGTGATTGTTCTTTTTAAGTGTCTGTTCCTGTGTATTAACTGTGGGCAGCAGATTGGAAGTGCATGTGCAAATAAGCAGTCTCCTAGGATTCTTTGGCGTCGAACTATTGTCTCTTTGGGATAATTGGAGAAACAGACAACTATAAATTAATCCTAAATTCCAACAGATATACAGGAATGTGAGCAGTCTTTTGTCAGAGCTGGCCCACAGCTGTTAACTGGCTAACCTGTCTCATGTTCTGTCATGTGGTGGAAGGTGTGGGTAGCCTTAGGCGGTTAGTAAGTGAGGAGGCAGCCACCAGCCAGCCGCAAGGGGCTGCAGAGCACGTGAAACGTGACCAGTCTAAACTGAGATGTGATGTGTGAAACACACACACTGGAATTCAAAGGTTTATAATGAAAAGAACGCAAAGTATCTCACTGATAACTGTTAGTCGTGTTATATTGATATTTAAATAAAATGTTATTACAACTTCATCTGCTTTTTAAAAAAATGTTATTGTTTATCTTTAAAGAGAGAGGAAGTGAGAGAGAGAAACATCATGAAAGAGAAACATCATCGATAGGCTGCCTCCTGCACACCCCGCACTGGGGATCAAGCCCATAACCCAGGCATGAGCCCTGACCAGGAGTCAAACCAGTGACCTCTTGGCTCATGGGCCGATGCTCAACCACTGAGCGACACTGGCTGGGCTCTTTTGCTTCTTTACTTCTGATATAGCGATGAGAAAATTATAAATTACCTACATAGCTCACTTGAGAGTTTTGTGGACAGCATGCGTCTAGACCTGTACATTTACTAAGAAATCATCCTTTTTGCCAACACCGTGCTTATTTAATGAACATGTATTGAGCCAACTGCTAATGCAGTGACCTTGTACAAAGATGAGTAAGACATAACCCAGGAACTCAACCAGCCTTATTGCTGTTTTACAGGGTGGTTCTGAGGATTGAATGAGTTAATGTCATGTAAAGAAACTAGAGGAAGGCAAGTGGCCAGATGCCAGGGGACCTCTCCATGCTACGAAGTTTGGACTTAGATACTGAAGACTTTGGGAAGCCACTTCAAGAATTCGTTGGTGGGGGAGAGGGAGGTGACATGATCCCTTAGCTAGAATGCTTCCCCCCTCATCTAGAGATCTCCTTTTTGTCCTTCAACTCTGAGCTTGGCAGTTCTAGTCTTCTCTTCTGCAAGACCTTTGCTGACCTCCCAGTCTAAAGTAGCTCCCCAGCCCAACCAGTGTGGCTCAGTGGCTGAGTGTCCACCTATGAACCAGGTCATTAGATTCCCGGGCACATGCCTGGGATGCAGGCTCAATCCCCAGTATGGGGGTTGCAGGAGGCAGCTGATCCAAGTTTCTCTTTCATCACTGATGTTTCTCTCTCTCTCCCACTTCCTTACATGAAAACTACCACTGATTTTTCATCTTGCTTATTTTTTAATATATTTTATTGATTTTTTTACAGAGAGGAAGAGAGAGAGATAGAGAGCTAGAAACGTCGATGAGAGAACATCAACCAGCTGCTTCTTGCACACCCCCTACCGGGGATGTGCCTGCAACCAACGTACATGCCCCTGACCGGAATCGAACCTGGGACCTTTCAGTCCGCAGACCGAGGCTCTACCACTGAGCCAAACCGGTTTCAGCTCATCTTGTTTATTGATGCATTTGTAGAATTCAAGTGTGTAAAACCAGGAATTTATCTTGCTGTATCCCTAAACTTAAAACAGTGCCTGGCCATTCTGTAGGATAGTAGGTGTTTTACAAATATCCCTGGCAGCAGTTAAGAATGGATTTCTAGAAAAGCAAGACAAGAAGTAATGTAAGAGAAACAGGACTTAGGTGATTATAATCTCAATTTTTATGTTTAGTTTGCAATGGACAATCCAAGATCGACGCTCCATAGGCTCTTGTATATTCAGATCAAGAGTTGAAAGACGGAGGGGAATATAGGTGAGTGACATCAAAGATTAGGTACCCGAAGCTGTGAGGGTTGGTAAGATCACTCAGCAGAAAGGAAGAAGAGTGAAAAGCACAGGAGGGAGGTTAAACCCGGGGAATAGCAACTTAAACACGTCTGAAAACCTGGGAGCCTGCTCTGCCAAAGAAAATAAACAAATAGGACAAATGCCTGATTGGAAAAACTCAAACATCTGCTCATGCTTGGTTTGGTGGCATTTTCGTGCTCCAACAAGCAACAAATGGGTTGCTATTTATATGGATCCAAATCAAATGGCAATTTTGCCTTCCCTTTAATCAAATCTACACTGCCACAGAGGGATTTCCCTCCCTCCATCCAAGCTTTGTGATGAAAGAATAAGAAGGGTTTTCAGAGGAAAATTCTGAAGATCATTTACATTTTTTAAAATATATATTTTATTGATTTTTTTTTTACAGAGAGGAAGGGAGAGGAATAGTCAGAAATATCAATGACAAACTTGAATCAGCTGCTTCCTGCATACCCCCTACTGGGGATGTGCCCACAACCAATGTACATTCCCTTGACCAGAATCGAACCTGGGATCCTTGAGTCCACAGGCCAACGCTCTGTTCACTGAGCCAAACCAGTTAGGGCCATTTACATTTTTAAATACATTTTATTGGTTTTTTACAGAGAGGAAGGGAAAGGAATAGAGAGTCAGAAACATCGACGAGAGAGAAACATCAATCAGCTGTCTCCTGCACATCCCCCACTGAGGATGTGCTTGTAACGGGAATCGAACCCCCGAGTCTGAAGGCCGACACTCTATCCACTAAGCCAAACTGGTCAGGGCAGACCATTTACATTTTTAACTTTTGTTCCTCAGCCTGGCCCTGGCGCTACCCATGATCACAGGAAGAAAGATGGCTTAGCAGCCGAAACCGGTTTGGCTCAGTGGTAGAGCGTCGGTCTGCAGACTGAAAGGTCCCAGGTTCGATTCCGGTCAAGGGCATGTACCTGGGTTGCGGGAACATCCCCGGTAGAGGGTGTGCAAGAGGCAGCTGATCGATGTTTCTCTCATCGATGTTTCTAACTCTCTCTCTCTCTCCCTTCCTCTCTGTAAAAAATCAGTAAAATATATTGGGGGGAAAAAAAAGATGTCTTAGCAGCTTCCAGCCTCTCTCTCTCTCTGCTCCTCAACAAAAGATATGCCCACAGGCTGCGGACTTCTCTACCACCACCACCCTGCCTTGCCCTGGCCATGTGCTGAAGGCTCCTTGGTCCCCGAGTCCTGGAACGGTAAAGCTGGAAGGGGCAAAACACATACTCTGTTTTGTCTCTTCCAATTGGTGCCTGCAGTTGGCTGTCGTGTGGAGATTCCTAGAAATAAAGCAAATGAAGGCAGCAGAGCAAAATTCGCATTTACTTTTTATTAGTCTTAAATTGGTCTCAAAGAAGAAATTACAATTCAACGACTGAAATACAAATAGATACATGAGTTAATATCCACACAATTCTATCAGGGTCTGAAGCAGTCAGCTGGTTACAGGTGTAGCACTGTGAAAAGCAAGTTGGCTTGGCCCTCAAGAAACTTACATTCTAATGCAGAAAGCAGACAATCTGGAGTTGGGTAAATGCTTAAAAAAAAAAAAAATGAACAAAGCAAGGCGCAAACTATTTTAAAAACTGGGGATTTGGGAGGCAGGCATCCAATCTAATCTACAGGACTCCTTATGGAGGTAAACACACTAATCTCAAGATGCTAGATATGAACTGAGTCAGTGGTTCTCACCAGTGCAATTTTAGAAATGGATGGGTTTTTGTTTCATGACAACTGAGAGTTGTTATTAGCCCTCAGTGGATGCAGCCGGGCTAACAGATGTCCTGCAGTATATGGGTTAGCCCCATAAAACGAAGAATTATTCGGTATCTATACGACTTTCTAATGTCCGCTGGACATTTATGTAGGACCTACAGGTCGCCTGAGAGGATATAAATGTTTTCCTCTTAGACAGTCTGTAATTTGCCTTGTCCTATTATCCTTATTAAAGTAAGGTAATTTCGCTCTTTCCCTTACCAAACACAGATAAATGGTCTGTTATCACTTGTCTTAAAACAGGTCTCCATTCTAGTGTCACCCACACCTCTTATCTTTCATTTTCCTGTACTTCTTTATAGGAAGTAGCCTCTGAGCGACTCCTAAATCCAAAGCTCTTCACTCTAAGTAGGAATAAATATCTACTTCATGATGTCGTATAGCGTAGTCATGCCGGAGCATTTACATAGTGAAATTCAGAAAGGAAGAGGGAAAGAGATAGAAACATCAATGATGAGAATCATTGATCGGCTGCCTCTTGCGCGCCCTCTACTGAGGATCAAGCCCACAACCCGGGCATGTGCCCTGGACCAGCAATGAACCCAGGACCCTTCAGTCCACAGGCTGACACACTATCCACTGAGCAAAACTGGCGAGGGCCAGTTTATTTTTATTATCAATTTATTTCCTCCTGTTTCTCTATTATAACAGAGTTAGGGTAGTAAACTGATTTTTTCAAGAAATGCGTATGTGTAGGTTGATTACATTATCTAAGAATTAAATCAGGACAATGAAGGGGATGTTACAAAGGGGAAGTTACAAAATATCTGCTCTGAAAAAGGTGACTAGATCTGATAGGGTTTATGGTTGTAACCATAATGGGGTGGGGGAGGGGGTGGTGGCGCTACTGGCATTTAGTATGTGAGCCAAGTATGCCGAACATTTTGCAATACATTTGACAGTTCCTCACAGTAAGAAGTTATTCGGCACCCTATAGGAATTTTGAATGTCTTACTAGACATCCATGTATGACCTACAGCTCATCTGCAAAAATATATGTCCTCATTTTCTCCATTTTGACAATCTGTAGATTTTCTTGCACAGCATCTTTATTTCAATGAAGGCGTTCTTATAGAAGAATCAGCATATGCAAGTAAGTTATTGTATCACTAGTTTTTATTCTAATGTCCACTTGTATCCCTGCTGTCTCGTTTTCCTATACTTCTTCGCACAAAATAGCTTCTAATCTCCTACCTTCTTTTAAATTCAAATTACTCATTCTAAGTAGATGTAGACATCTGAGTACTTAATTAGGTCTATAGTGGTATCCGAGTTATGTACTTTTAATTTCCCTTTTATAATTATTACTTAATTTTAAATTTATTTCTAAAATTGTATCTAGGTAGAGTATGTTACCACTAAATTGCCTTTTGAGGATAACAATGTGGACGTTACAAAGTATTTGCCATTTAAAAAGAAGGCAGGGGCGCCAGCTGAGGATCAATGAGCTATGTGGAAAATCCCGAAGGACCGGAGGAGAGCCAGAGCGGCTGGTGTGGGAGAAAATAAACGATGGAGGGCGGGGAAGGGAGAGATCATGTGGGGCCATGACAATGACTTTGAACTTTATTCTAAAAGCAAGAAGTCTGATCATTAAATGAAAAAATTTTAAAATATGGCCATTCTTGCTGCCAAGTAAAGGAGGAGACCAAGGTATTTAAGAGGGAAAACAGGACTTGAGAACAGCTTAGATGCTCAGGGGAAGGTAGGGGGAGGGGTCAAGATAACTTGTGGATTGCTGTATGAGCAGATGTGTGGATGGCGATACCACGGATTCTCATACAGAACCCTGGGGAGGAACGGGTTCACGTGGGGGAGGCAGAGCCAGAATTCCGTTTTGGACACACTAAAGTAGAGACGCCTGGGAAATGTCCCACCGGAGATGGCTGGTGGGCAGTGGGACTGACGTATAAATTGGATCTCTGCCACTCGAAGGTCAAGATCAGGAAATGAAAACTCCAGAACGGAAACCACCATGAGAAAGGAATAAGTAAACAAGAGTAACTATTTGTGGCAAGCCTCCCAGAAAATAACCCTACGCTAAAAAAAACCCTAAGTAGTCCCTTTAAACATGTGTTACTGGCGGACCCGTTAAGCCAAAGAATTGTAGCATGCTGGGCACTGATTAAACATCTGACAAATAAAACCTCAGGTGCTAATTAATCTTTGTAACACATCTGCTGGAAGGAACGAGAAGGAATATTCGGAGATTGGGATGGAATGTTTGAAAAGGAAAACTGAAAGGAAAAACCTGACTCCTAATAAGGAACTTGGTTCAGACAGCTTAACTGCTCTAAAAACTGACTGCACTACAATTCCATACATTTCGTTACATTAAAAAAAGAAAGAAAGAAAGAAAGAAAGAAAGAAAGAAAGAAAGAAAGAAAGAAAGAAAGAAAGAAAGAAAGAGAGAAAGAGAGAAAGAGAGAGAGAAAGAAAAAAAGAGAGAAAGACAGAAAGAAAAGCCTCTGGCAGGCGCAACGCCCGTCTGAGGCGTTATTCTGTTAGTTCTGATTCTGTGCTCACCAGGAAACAAACCTTGTCTCCTTAGGGGCCATCCTTCCACAGGAGGGCCCTGCTCCTCACTCCGGGGTGAGCCTCACCTGCCAGCGCGAACGACTATAGGAGCCTCCGGTTTACCAGTCCTGCCCGTGTGACTCTGGCTGCTGCACCTCAGCACTCACAGCACACACACCTCACGGAAGTCCCACCCGAGAACAGCCTTCTCTGGAACCATGTTGATTAGAACATAAGTGTCTACTTTGACATAATTACATCAAGAGCTCATTAAATCGAGTTGGTGCTTCTCTCTGAGCCACATTTGGCAAAACTCTTTTTTATCAACTCCAGCGTCGACCTGGATATATAAATAAACGCAGAGATAACGAGATGTATGCCCCAAATTAGCTTCGCTGCAGTGGTACAGGCCTGCAGCTGTGTCTGTAACGGCATTTAGATTGCCTCTCCCCCCACATATCCCTAAGTATTCCCTTCCCCCAACTTTTCACAATCATTATTCAAGGCTGTATAGTGTCTTATGTGCTTATTTCCACAGGCCTTTTTAGATATCTCTCCAAGTTCCCAAATTAAGTTGTTTGTTGTTGTTGTTGTTTTTTCAATTTAACAAAAACAAAACCATGCCGTACAGCTAACGGTAAGAGCAATTGGGAGAGAAAGCAGTGGCTGCAATCACAGAAGCATTCGAGATCGTTCTTTACCGGTAACGTCTAAGGCAGTGGTTCCCAAAGTTTACGACACCCACCACTGCTGCCTGGCTTTCACCAGCAGAAACGGTGATTTCGTTGGAATGGGATGCATTCTGGACATTGGGGTATTTTTGTTTGTTTGTTTGTTTGTTTCCAGGTGATTCACATGTGCAGCAAAGTCTGGGAACCACTGACCTAAGGCATTTGATCCATATTCGAGAAAATGTAGAAAAGTTGAACGGTTATGTGGGGCGGTTTTATAAGAGGATGGAGGGAATGGCATCATTTCTAACTAACCACGCAGGCTTTATCTGTTTCGGCGTATTCAATCAGATATTCTGGGTAAATCTGATTTTTCTTAAAGATGACAAAAATGGAAGGATTCAGCCTGGAATCCACGCAGCTGTCATATGGTGGCGGAGGGCTGGCGTAGCTCCTCTTTCCTTCAATCGTACTTCCAACCAGGACTCGGGCAAAAAACATGACGATGTTTTTGGGATCAAACGGGCAGCTTTTATGGGCAGTAATGGCATCTTTTGTAAAGTAACTTCCTAGAAATAATAATAAAAAAAGGTTAAGAATTATTTTAAAAGAAAGTATGTTGTTTATAAGATTATTTACACATAATTAGATGACATGCATTGGCTAAGTTAGCCATTTTCAACCAGTATACCGCAAGATTTTTTAAAAACATTCAATACCTGACTATTTAGTCAGGGGCACTGGCCTTTTCCCCCTTAGATTGTTAAATAAAAAAAAACAACAGCAGCCAATACAACCATAGCTGTCTGGTGTGGATGAATCAAAATTATGCCTTTTTGTGTGTGTGTGTGTCAAAGAATTTTAGCAATTAATTTATGTGTGCCATGACAGGAAAGAGGTTGAAAAAAAGTCACTAAGTATATGTCAACAATACCTTACTGATACTTACAAGCTTTCCTTTGTATTTAAAAAAATGTCAATTATACAAGTACACTTGAAATCCGTGCATAATCCTTCTGGAATAACAGAAACATGTGCTAGTGTGCAGGGCTCCCTGCGAAGGTGAGAGCCACTGGGTGCAATGACCACGTGGCGACATCACATGATGCAATCCATGCAGGGTGAGCTGATTTATAACTGATGAACTAAAGATCTCCCAGCAAAGGCCATTTGATATTGTAAGGGACAAAGGTCATTTACTACGGATGGTAAGGTCGTGAAAATGTGACAGGAAGAGTACAGAATGAGCAAGCCATTAACCCTGGCAGAGCTTTTCAAAGACAGTTGATTCCTCATCCTCAACTCTAAAACACCCTCTGATCATCACTGAGGCTCCCATACTCAGCCCATCAACAAGTTCCTGACAAGTAAAATTTTCCTATTTTTATTTTTATCATTGCCACATGCTTTTCTCCCCTTTTATATTATTTACTAGAGGCCCAATGCATAAAGATTCATCCAAGAATGGGCCTTCCTTCCTCTGGCTGCTGGCACCGCCTTCCCTCTGGCCAGAGCCTGCCATTCCACCTTCCCTGAGCAGCTGGAGGGAGGGGGGGGGGGTTCAGAACACCTGGGTTGTCACCATGATGATGACACAAGCATCCCATCCTGGCCCCCGCGGCTGGGCACCAGCATATGCAAACTAACCCACAATCTTTGTTGAATTAATCTGCATACTCATTAATTTGTGGGTGTTGCGAAGGTACGGTCAATTAGCATGTGAGGATATTGATTCTAGAGAATGGAAGGGAAGGGTAGGGGAGAGAGAAAGAAAGAAGGGGAGGGAGAGGAAAGGTGACAGAGACACACCAATTGATTGTCTCCACACTCCCCGATGGGGTATGGGGATCTGACCTGCAGGCCAGTTATGTGTCCTTGACTGGGAATCGAACCTGTGACCCTCCAGTGTGCAGACCAACACTCTAACCACTAACCCATGCCAGCCAAGACCTAATTGATTTCATCCTTTTTTTACAGCACAGCCAGATTCACCCTATCACTCCTTCCTAACACCACTGGAAAAAATCCATCCCTTTAACATGGCTTGTAAAGATCTTTTTCCTTCTTTAGTCCTAGAAATCTTAGACTATCTACAGCCTCCCAAGCCTTTGCCACCAGGTCTCATCCCCATAAACACTCTTCTCAAATCTTTTTTTTTTTTTTTTTAATCTAGCTAGATGTGATTTGTTCTATAAGTCATACTCAGACTTCCCCATATGCTGACTTTCTAAAATCTCCTTTATTCAGATTTTAACATTCAACCAGTATAATTGATGTAATGGGAAAATACTGTCCAAGACACTATGCTGTGTTTTTTAATTTCTTATGTGTGTTTTTTTTTTTTTTGCCATTTTTTTTTAATACCTAACCATTTTTTTATTTATCCAGACAAATTCTTTGCCTCAGAGAGAATTAGAATCTTTGGAAGGAATATATAAGGAAAAAGAGAGACTCATAGTCAGCTTCTGATGATCAAGATAGGCTCTAGAAATGCACTGCAAAAAAATAATGAGCTTTGTTAACTAGACAACACTCTGAATGAGACCAGGGACAAGAACCTCTCTAGGTTGACTTGAAAAGGGTCAGGTTGGCTGAAACCGGTTTAGCTCAGTGGATAGAGCATCAGCCTGCGGACTGAAGGGTCCCAGGTTCAATTCCAGTCAAGGGTATGTACCTTGGTTGCGGGCACATCCCCAGTAGGGGGTGTACAGGAGGCAGCTAATCGATGTTTCTCTCTCATCGATGTTTCTACCTCTCTATCCCTCTCCCTTCCTCTCTGTAAAAAATCAATAAAATATATTTTAAAAACAAATAAATAACTGGGGAGGGGAGGACTTGTCTAACTTGTTTACCACTGTGTCCCCAACATCTAGCGTATAGCAGGCACTCAAAAATATTTGAGTGCCTGCTATACGCTAGATGTTGCCGAGGGTGTGGTTCAGTTGCTTGAGCATCGCCCCAGACACTGAAAGGTTGCTGGTTTGATTCCTAGTCAGGGGATATGCCCAGGTAGCACGCTCAAATCCCAGTAGGGGGCGTGCAGGAGGCAGTTGACTGATGTCTCTCTTTCACATAGATGTTTCTCTCTCTCCCTTCGTCTCTCTCTAAATCAATAAAGACATTAAAAAAATTAATATTTGTTGACAGACTAATTGGCTTCTTGCTTTTTTGAGGCGGGCATGTATGATTTTAATCTTAGCTGTATGAACTGAGCCCACTTTGAACCCTGATAAACTATTATATTACTACATGTTCCTTGAAGAGGAGAGACCTGGTTTTTTTCTTGGTTTTGTTTCTAAGAATTGCATGGAGGAGGTTAGGAGCACACAGGAAGAGCTGACAAGACTTCACGTGAGGACAGACCTGTGTGACTTCCGTCCCCAGGAGGCCCCGCCTGGCCTGAGATGGAGAGGCCTCTGCTCCCATCTTTTATTGGCACCTCTTCGTGGCCACGGAGGCTACTTCATGTAGCTTCTATGGGGTGGACAAGGTCAGAAAGAGCCACTGCCAGAACTGAGCAACAATGGTGGACAATGTAGCCAGCAGGTGGTGTAGCTTCAGGTGTGTATGAGATCAGAGAGTCTTGGAGAATTAAGGCGTTTCAGGAAAAAAGGGAAGTTTTCTGTTCCGAAAACGGAAGGCAGGAGCAGGACTAAGGTGCCGCAATCAGTGCCCAAGTCAACTTACCCCCTCTAACTTGAGCACAAAATAATCACACAACCTCGTCACAGAAGCAACACACAGCCCGAGAGCCAGGCCTCTCTGTTCCAGCACTAACCTTTTCCATAGGTGATGTCAAGAGTCCCCTGCGAGATCCAGTCAAAATTATTCGCACAGATAGAATGCACGTGAGTGCGGTGTGTGGCACAAAACAGGTTTGTTTCTTGGACCTTCATCTCCATTTTTCTCCTAAAGCGGGAAATGTGACACTTAAGACTGAGAACATTCCTCTCCCACACCGCTGAACTAGAGTCTAACGGCCTTAAAATTTCATCTCATCAGCGTTCAGAATGGAGCTCCTTACGTTAAGAAAACAGCTTTAGAAAACAAAATTGGTGAAATCACTGGGTTACAAAACTAACGCTGAAAGAGGGAAGTGCCAGTGTATGCAAGGAAAACCAGAGATCGAAGAGACTGCTGACTGATGACTAAGAGAAACCAGTGACTACGCATCTTAAAGGTCAGGCCCCAGCTAATCCCTTCAGACTCTTTGTGAAGGAACTTGGTCTCGTGGCCACCAACCTTTGAAAGGCATCCCAGAGCTGTGGATTCTTGAGCTTCTTGATTTTTTCAATCTTGGCGTGTTTCATCGTCGATTTAAAATACTCACTCACTCGGGCGTATTCCAAGCCATAGCTATTGATCTCTGACAACTAAAAATAAAATAAAATATATGTGTACATGTAAACATGTGAAACAGGACACACTGAAAGCATGCTATGGCCACAGGGGTGGCCCCCTATGCCATTGAGAACCCTTGCCAGGCCTCGGACAGCAGGTGGGATAAGCTGGTGGAGGGTCCCCTGCCTGGCAGTTTATCCCAGTGATGAACTACCTGGTTGGCACTGGGCCTGTCTGTTCAGGATGACATGGCTAACTGCCGGTAACTGAAACCTAACATTGTCACTAGTGGTAAAATGTAAAAAGAGACGGCCAACCTTGATGGCTCTGAATGGTCGGAACTATTAACTCATAGTCTAGTTGAGATAGTGGTAGTTGAGGTAACTTTAATTTGTGGATCATATGGAAATTCTTGATTTTCTATTGTTGTAATTTCTCGCCTAAGAGATGTCTTTGTCTCAGAAGCTAAATAAAAGGAATGGTAAAAGGCCAGAGCAATGGAGTAGTCCTCCCCGAGAGGTGGACTCCTGCCTGGCCCCATTTTCCCAAATTAACTCTTTTCCAGTCTTTCTTATTTTAGTGTGCGGCCTTCTCCAGAAACCAGACTCTGAGTGGGCCCTGAACCACGGGGGCCGTGTTAAGGGATCCCACAGCTAACACAGCATTATGCTTAGAGGTAAAGGGAGACCCCAAGGTGCCTGCGTTAGTCCAGTGATCTAGCGAGTTCAAGGCCATCCAGGGCGCCCTTGCAGCCCGAGCAAAGCAGCCCACACCCCGAGCTTGAACATGACCGACCGAGGGCATCGAGCCCCAGCCGCACCCGGGGACGTGCTGAGGCCGTGTGTGTGTGTGTGTGTGTGTGTGTGTGTGTGTGTGTCTCCCCTGGAAACCAGCTTCGGAACTCCAACCAAGGTAAGGTGACCAGACGTCACGATTTTTAACCATTTGTCCCGCGTCCCTGGGCATTTTAAAAAATGTCCCGATTTTTCAATCTTTTTTTTTTTTTTTTTTAATATATTTTATTGATTTCTTACAGAGAGGAAGGGAGAGAGATAGAGAGCTAGAAACGTCGATGAGAGAGAAACATCGACCAGCTGACTCTTGCACACCCCCCACCGGGAATGTGCCCACAACCGCTATACATGCCCTTAACCGGAATCGAACCTGGGAACTTTCAGTCCGCAGACCGACGCTCTACCACTGAGCCAAACCGGTTTCGGCCCGATTTTTCAATCTTGACGTGTTTCATTGTCGATTTAAAATACTCACGCCGAAACTGGTTTGGCTCAGTGGTAGAGCCTTGGTCTGCGGACTGAAAGGTCCCAGGTTCGATTCCGGTCAAGGGCATGTACGTTGGTTGTGGGCACATCCCTGGTGGGGGGTGTACAAGAGGCAGCTGGTCGATGTTTCTCTCTCATCGACGTTTCTAGTTCTCTATCTCTCTGCCTTCCTCTCTGTAAAAAAAAAAAAAAAATCAATAATATATATATATATATATATATATATATATATATATATATATTTTTTTTTTTTTTTTTTAATATTCTGGGCCATAGCTATTGATCTCTGACAAAAAAAAAATCGGGACTTTTTAAAAAAAAAAACCGCCCAGGGACATAGGACAAATGGTTAAAAATCGGGAGTGCCCCGCCAAAAGCGGGCTGTCTGGTCACCTTAAACTAAGGGACAAGTCACTTTCACTCTCGGAGTTCCGGTTTGCTCGCCTGTAAAGTCGGGAACTGGCATCGATCTGCCAGGGCTGCCAGAGGGTCTGCCCCAGGGGGATCCTGTGGGCAGGGCTCTGGAGACAGGGCTCCGGGGACAGGGCGGCCGTCCCTGGGAAAGCGACACTCTCACCACGGAGCTGACCACCTCTACACCTCGACCCCAGAGGTTCACAGGAGCGATTCGCTCTTTCATGCAAACGAACACACACACATGCAGCAAAGCGCTTTTCCCCACCTTCCCACAGCCCCCCCTGAAAAGTAAACACCAAGTACCTCATATCCACTCGGTGGCGGGGAGGGAGGCTTCTGCTGAGGAAGAAACATCGAGGCCACAGGCGCGGGCAGGGTCGGTGCGGGCGGATGGCTGTGAAGAGGGAGAGGGAGAATTCACTTGGCCCCTGTCCCGTGGGCCCGAGTGCTTTGTGTCCTTAACGTCCAGCCACTAAGCCAAGATTTCTCAGGTAATCTCCTTGTATTTTGATTTGGGCTACACATCCCTGCATGTTTCTGATGCAGATGTACCAGCCACCATGCTTTTTGAAAAATGCAGAAATGATTCCAACTTTGGTAAATGAATTAAATGCCATTTTCCCATTCAACTTAAAGTGCAAAAGCATGGATTCCTTTTTTTTTTTTTTTGCCAAAAACCAGCATTATATTCCAAAAGAGGCAAGTCGTTTCATAAAATAAGAAGCTGAAACGAATTCCACAGTTATTAAGAAGCTAAAACACTCTCACTAATTTTTAGCCACTTAAAAGTCTAGATTATTAAAAAAAAAAAAAAAAAAAAAAAAGCAAACCATTTTCCAGTTCATATATGATTCAAGGCCAAAATACTGAATTTTAAAATGAAGTAAAAAACAGAAATCGAACAATGACTCATAAACATCCAACCAAGTGACATTTAGTCCTTTACTGAAGGGGGAGGCCGGGGGGAGAAGCAGCTACTTAAATGGCTAAAACGAGCATCAGAGACAGCACTCCTGGGAGGACTTCCAATCAGGACACAACGGTAGCAGGCACCACCTCAACTTCAGTCTGCGGCGCGTAAGTCTTCTCAAACACAAAGCATGTGGGACAGGGCGAGCGAAGCACACACACACACACACACTCACACTCACACGTTCAACTTTTCATGTCCTCTTCGCTGGTTTGGCCGTTTACTGCTTTTCTCTTTCAAATCCCTCCTCTCTTTGCTGCTCCCTTTCCAATTCTTCTTCTGCCTCTTCTGCTGCAGTGTAAGTGCTCTTTTTCTTTTAAAACTTTGATGTCCTTTTTGTGAAGCACCAGCCATTTCCTTCCTTATATTTACCACCTTGGCATGATATGTCACTAATCACTGGAATCCAACCTGGAACCCGTCAGTCCTGGAGCTGATGCTCTGTCCACTGAGACCAACCAGTCAGGGCATTCATACCGTGTTTTGAAACAAACTGGAATTCATCAACTCATTTTTGAGACAACGGGGGGGGGGGGGGGGGGAAGAACATGAACTAGATAGGTATTAGATAATAGTAAGGACTCATTGTCAATTTTGTTAGATGGGTTAATGGCATTATGTAATGTTTTTAAAACAGACACACCTGAAGTATTTATAGGGAAATGATAGGATGGGTGGAATTTACACGATAATATTTCAGCAAAAGAATAACTGTGAGATGATGGTGGAGATAGATGAAACAAGAATGATAAAATATGGACACTTCATTGAAGTTGGGCTTCTCCATATAACCCCCCAATGACACACTGAAATGCATTGTACAACCTTCTCTACTTTAACTTTGACATTTTCCATAATGAAAAAAATTGAAATCTTCCCATTTGTAACAGCATGGACCTAGAGGGTATTATGATAACTGAAATAAAGTCAGTCAGGGAAAGACAAATACCATATGATTTCACTTATATGTGGAATCTAAAGAACAAAATAAATGAACAAAATGGAAACAGACTCATAGTAGACACAGAGAGCAGACGGATGGTGGCCAGAAGGGATGCAGGCTGGGGGGCTGGATGAAAAAGGTGAAGAGGTAAAGAGTTACAGATTGGGCCTGGCCAGTGTGGCTCAGTGGTTGAGCATCGACCTATGAACCATGAGATCACAGTTTGATTCCCAGTCAGGGCACATGCCCGGGTTTCGGGCTCGATCCCCAGTATGGGGTGTGCAGGAGGCAGCCGATCCATGATTCTCTCTCATCAATGACGTTTATATCTCTCTCTCTCCCTCTCCCTTCCTCTCTGAAATCAATAAAAACATTTTTTAAAAAGGAAGTACAAATTGATAGTTATGAAATAGTCACTAGGGATGTAAAGTACAGCATAGAGAATATAGTCAATATTGTAATAACTGTGTATGGTGCCAGGTGGGGACTGGAAATATTATATCAAGGGAAAGACTTTGTAAAGTATATGATTACCTAACCACTATGATGTACACCTGAAACTAATACAAAATGATATTAAGTATAAACTGTAATTGAAAAATAAAATTTTAAGTCGATTTCAGCAAAAAAAGAAAAAGCAATTCAGAGGAAATTAGACAGTAGTGGCAGAAAGTAAAGCTAAAGGGATATGAAGACTGAAATTCTGAGGCTGAAATGGTCTGGCACTAGGAAATCCGATGTGGTTCAGTTTGCTGGGCTTCACCCATACACCGAAAGGCTACAGGTTCAATTCCCGGTCAGGGCACATGCCCAGCTGCAGGCTCAGTCCCTGGTAGGGGAAGTACAGGAGGCAGCCGATTGATGTTCTGCTCTCACATCGATGTTTCTTTCTTTGTCCCTCTCCCTTCCTCTCTCTCTCTAAAAATCAATAAGAAAAGTTAAAAAATAAAAATAAAAAAGTCAGGACTGTTAACCTGGTGACAAGTACATGTACAGCCAAGGACCTGTGAGCCCAGGCTGCTCAGGTTTTAAAGCAGAATTGGAACTGACTCCCATTCCTGAGGCCCTGACAGCGCTCAGTCCTCCCCATCCTTGAACTCTTGTAAAACGGTTTCCTTATTACACCATGTTTGTTCTTTAACTAATTCCCTCTCTCACGAAATATCTTCCTGTATCACCAAAAGAACCTAATTAGAACACTTTGATTTTGCACCTACCTTGAAATCTGGTTTCTTTGTTTGTTTTGTTTTGTCTTGTTTTAAATATGTTTTTATTGATTTCAGAGAGGAAGGGAGAGGGAGAGAGAGATAGAAACATCAATGATGAGAGAGAATTGGCTGCCTCTCACACCCCCCCCTATTGGGGACTGAGCCAGCAACCCAGGTATGTGCCCTAACTGGGAATCTGACTGAGACCTCATGGTTCATGGGTCGACGCTCAACCACTGAGGACACCGGCCAGACCTGAAATCTGTTTTTATGTAATCACACATCACTCCGGAAAAAAAAAATCCAACTCCAAAAATGTTCATGCATAATGTAGGTTTTACTGAGTTTCATGAGCACACCGTTACACTGAATCCCCCACAGCAAAAATCCCTTTAGAAATCGCCTATGTCAACTTTTTCTTTCTCCAAATCCCCTTGCTCGGCTACCTCATCCCTTTCTTCTTTCCATTTCCTCCACAGCCTCCCACCTTTATAAATCCTCTCAGCAAAAACACACAAGAACCCACAGCAAACAGCACTCGGCACTTCTAATCCTTTCCTAGGCACACCCCAGTAACCCAGCCATTCCCAGCGACAGAAGCTGAGCCCCAGGGTCGTGAAGAGACTTGCCCAAAGTCCCCTATAAGTTACGAGATATATTTCCTACACTAGTCTTCTTCCCATCACAGGGTGCAGCTTCAAAACACCTCCCTCACAGGCAATGCAAACAGGAGCAGCAATGAAATACAAGCAGGAACGTTAAGACAACAGGCTCCAGCCCAACCGGTGTGGCTTCAGTGGTGGAGCATCAATCCATGAACTAAGAGGTCACGGGTTTCATTCCCAGTCGTGTCCACCTCTCCACCGCTCTCCCCCCCTCCCCCCTCTATAGCCAATAAAAACACATCTTAGAAGAGGAAGAAAACAGGCTCCCAATGCGAGTGGGTCGGTGGGATCCGGGTGGGACCGGCTCACACATCTGCCAGCAAGCACTGCCTCAGAACACTTACTCTGGCCCACTTTTCATCTGCGCCACTTGCCGGGCAGACACAAACGTTGGTCTTCTGACGACATCCTTTTGGGTCTTGGAAGCTATGTTTGTCTGCATCATCCCTTTAGACAGAAAAAAAGAAAGCCACCAAGAATGAAGGGTTAGTCCTAGAAAATGATTTATTGTTATTTTTCAGAGGCTAGTCAAACAGCAAATAGTCATGTCTAACCAGTATATGTATAAATAAGGGAAAAGCCTTTTGGATGGAAACTGCTCATGATAAAAACTTGTAAACTTCACTTGCCCTTTTTTATAAGACCCAGAAAACAAAGAGGTGAGTAGCATTTGGCAATGAATCTAATCTTAGCAATAAATCAAAGTCAGGTGGTAAAGAAGAGAGCAAGGGTAGCCAGATAATAAGACATCATCCATGTAAGCTGCCCTAAACCAGGCATTAATGATGACACATCATTACATGACGTAATTATATACTTTGAAGGTCTTTTTTCCTACATAAAGTGTGAAATGTCATCTTCAATTCATGCATGTTGTAGACCTAGATCCAAGCTTTAACCAGAGTGATTGCAGTGAAGAGGAAATGCTTGTAGATTGCTGCAATGATTTTCTTTTCTTATAAACATGCTCTGCCCATGTGACACAGCAATCCCACTCCTTGGTATTTACCCAAGAGAAATGACATCCTGTATCTACACGAAGACTTGGGGTTGAATGTTCCCAGTAGCCACCCAAATACCCATCAAGTGGTGAATGGATAAACACACCATGATGGATCCTGACAATGGAATATTACTCAGCAATGAAAAGGGGAAAACTACTATACCTGCAACAATATAGCTAAGTCTGAAAGACATTATTGTGAGTGAAAGAAGCCATCTGTAGACAGCACACACTAAAAGATTCTCTTGATACGAAGTTCCAGAATAGATCAAACAAATCGATAGTGTCAGAAAGCAAAGCAGCTGGAGGCAGGGGGAGGTTCATGGCAAAAAGGCATGAGGAAACTTTTTGGATGGTTGAGACAGTGCTCTATCTTGATGAGGATAGCAGGTGCATGCATTTGGCTGAAACAGGTTTGGCTCAGTGGAGAGAGCGTGGGCCTGCAGACTGAAAGGTCCCAGGTTTGATTCCGGTCAAGGACCAAGACTAGAGCATGGGCCACTAGCTTCCATGCACCCCCACACTGCTGGTCCTGCTAAAAGAACCCTGATCCCACATCCTCTCGGCTCCCACCCTGCAGGTCCACTCAGGCCCATTCCACTGACGGGCACCACTGCAAAACGCAGTCTCTTACCTTGGAAACTCAGCTCAAAGTTCTCAGAACCTGCATGAAATGGCACAATGCCTCTCGGAGTGCAGAGGAAGACAGACTCCAGGTATGAGGAATCGATGCTTGAAATCTGCCGATTGTCTCCCTAATTAAAAAAAAAAAAAAAAAAAAAAAAAAGACTTGATGGTCGGCTTTTAAATAATCTCTACCACTGTATCTTCCATACTTTTATTTTAACCCTGGGATTTAAAGAGGAACCGTCTTGCCTCCTAGACCAGATCATAAAGGTTCCCCCCCCCCTTTTTTTATGTATATATTTTATTGATTTTTTACAGAGAGGAAGGGAGAGAGATAGAGAGCTAGAAACGTCGATGAGAGAGAAACATTGACCAGCTGCCTCCTGCACCGGGGATGTGCCCACAACCAAGGTACATGCCCTTGACCAGAATCGAACCTGGGACCTTTCAGTCCACAGACGGACGCTCTACCACTGAGCCAAACTGGTTCGGCAAGGCTCCCCCCTTTTATGGTTTTCTCCAACCAAGGACAGGGAGGGAACAGTCTACCCTGTAGGAACTACACTTGGTGGATGCCGTAAAAATACAGCTCTTTGCAATAATCTTTTATTAAGTATATTTTTTATTGATTTCAGAGAGGAAGGAAGAGGGAGAGAGAGAGTGAAATAAGACAAGAAAATATTAATTTGGGAATTGGGGGCAGTCGGAAATCCAAGAGAGGACTTCTCTTTGCTCAGCCTTGCTATCCTTTTCATTCAGGTCTGGGGTACACCCACAGCCCTTAGGCAGGCAATTCCAGGAATAGCTCGATGATAGCCCATCAGCAAGGATTTACATAAGTCTAAAAGGTGGAGGTTGGTTCAGTCCCCTTTGTCTCCACCAGACAGTGGGTGCTTGGCTCTGACCCTTGCCAGAGCCTCAAGGTTGACCAGCCTTGCGGACTCGTTGTCCACACCTCTCTGCTAGTGAAGGTAATGAGCAGCTTCCAACAGGCTGCCACCCCTGCCAAGGACAGTGGAAAGGTGGCCTGGCCTGCCTCCTTGCTCAAGTTGACATATTCCCTTTACCCACCATTCTGATTTCAGGCCCTTCATAAATGTCTTGAGGCCTGAGAGTTTGTCTTTATATTTCAGGGGTATTTCTAGTCCCTTTCATTGTAGCCTCTGTCAGTGGCAAATTCAAGTGTTGTGGACTAACTAGAGACTTAGTCCATAGTATTTGCTTACTCGGGCTCAGGTAAGCAAATACAGAGGAGGAGCAGTGGGTCATTTACATTTGGAGAGCAGTGCATCCACTGGAGCTTTACCTGCTTTCTCATGTGATGGGCTTTTAGAGCCACCAGGGTCTCCTTCATGATAAGAGTGCTGGGTTCTGTTAGCAGGGCAGACAGGATGTCCATACGTTGGGTCTGAGTTGCTTGGTACACTTGGGTCATACTTTTATGGAAGGTGTAAAAAGATTATTGCAGCCCTAGTGGGTTTGGATCAGTAGATAGAGTTTTGGCCTGCGAACTGAAGGGTCCCAGGTTCAATTCCGGTCAAGGGGCACATGCCTGAGTTTGCAGGCTCAATCCCCTGTGTGGGGCGTGCAAGAGGCAGCTTTCATTGGCTGCTTCAGTGTGCTCCCTCTCTCTCTTTCTCTAAAAATAAGATTTTTATTGATTTCAGAGAGGAAAGGAGAGGGAGAGAGAGAGATAGAAACATCGATGATGAGAGAGAATCATTGATCGGCTGCCTTCCGCACGCCCCACACTGGGAATCGAACCCACAATCCCACAACCTGGACATGTGCCCTGACTGGGAATTAAACCATGACCTCCTGGTTCATAGGTCGATGCTCAACCACTGAGCTATGTCAGCCAGGCTCTCTTCCTCTCTTTCTAATCCTATGAATCAAAAAGAGGGACACTAGTGTAGAGAGCAGCTACAGTATTTGGACAGGTTCAAGCCTCAGACTGATGAGAGGACACAGTCCTCTCAGGGCCACGTGCAAGTCCCAGTGTGGAGGGCAGAGCCCTCTCAGTACAATTATAGCCAACAGCTGTAGTTGTAAACTTGAACCTATGGTCCAAACACGTGGCCCCACGTGCCTAAGTGATATAGGCTGCAAGTAAACAAAGCTTGATCAGGTGCATGCAATTGAGTAGGATCAAAACTCACAAGAATGTTGTAAACATCTTGATCACACCTCATGGCATCTACTATAAAATAAAGATATGGCTTCTAGTCCATGTTGCTGTCTCTCCACCAGAGAGGCAGCATCCCACTGAGACCCAGCTTTCATTCTCTTGTCTGTCTTTTCTCAATCCTTCACCGCCTCCTCTCAGGGTCGCTGAACCTAGCTAAGCTGGCGTGGCACGGCACATAAGGTGCCCTGGGGCTGAATATGCCATGGCTGTGCCGGCTCACCACACACCAGAGAGAAGCTCTGCTTATCTAAATGTGTACCCCAATCAGCATGTCCCTGTGTGGGTGCGCCTCAAATGTTCCAGGTCCGGCCTTTCTAGTTCCTCTGAATTCAGACTGGGAGCCCTAGAGACCCTGCTGATTCTCCACTCTCCCTGTTTTCTGGCTTGGAAGCCGTGATCTGTACAGCTATGCACTAATACAGTGGTCGGCAAACTGCGGCTCGCGAGTTTGCTGCTCTGTTGACTATTGAGTGTGCCGACCACTGACCTAGACTCTCTATTCCAATAATTACAGGCTATTGTTGTTCCTTGTGATGAAGCCCCTATCCCAGTAGTCAGCAAACTCTACCAGCTGCAGTTTGCAGACCACTGCACTGCACTAATACATGGTCTTAAGGTCCCACCACTGCACTGATACATGGTCCCATCTCAAGGTCCCACCCGAGTCCCTGATAGTGGGGATGGAAGGGATAATGTGTCTCTGTTTATAATGGCAATCACAGTACATGCCTGTGAAAACAATGCCAGTACAGTTGTGTATCTGTAAGAAGCACCACTTCCTCCACATCCACTCTCCATGGGTGACCATGGAGGCGTCAAACATGTTAGTCATGCTTTTCCCCTGGAGTTGGCAGGTTGAAACACGCGCGTCCAGGGGAGGAACGGGACTCACCTTCTCCCCGTACGGAACCCATCTGTGAGATCCACTCTTCCAATACCAAACCCATTTTGTGGCGAAGACGGTATTATCGGGCAGTCTGACAGACGAAGGTGTGGAGATACGTCGGATGGGTTTTAAACCACAAGTCATTTTCTGGAAATTGATTTGTAAATTTCCGAAAGGAATGCTGATGGGGGGGGAGGGGGGAGCTTAAAGTTAATATAAATGCTTCAATCCCATTTTCCCGAACAAAAGCACAGAATTCTTATTTTAGAGCTGAAAGGGGTCCTCGGATTTTCTTTATACATCTGCCAGTCTTAACACATAACAGAAAACAGCTAAAACACAGATAGGTAATGTTACTTGCCTACCCCACATATTCAATGGTATCACAAAATCCATTCTTTCCTCAAAAAACTATCCCAAATAACACTGCCCACACACAAAAAAACCCCACTGGCTCAGGGTTAGAAAATGAGTGAGAAACTCACAGGTTAGTTTTTTCAATTGTTTATCAAAAGACCTTTTTGAGAAGCCAGCAAGGTCAAAGTTATTTTCATAAAATATTAAGACATTCCCTGCCTTTTTCATTTATATATTCTCACAGGTGCACAGTAGAATTTTCAAGAGGCCACATCATGTGTGATTTCAAAAAATATAAAACAATGCCATTCTTCTCAATGAATTTTTGTTTTGGAAAACGGTTATTTTTAGTTACACGTATCCATAGGTAGCGTTATGTGCACATAACTGTATAATTATATAGTTATATGAAATGTTATTTATATTAACATGTAATGAATTTACTTTTAAATGAATCAGTACTTTGTCTCGGTTTTGATTTTTTACTATGATAAATGTGGGTAGCTATAATACATATAATCAGAAGCTCTTTGGGATCCTCAATACATTTTAAGTCTGTAGAAGGGTTGGGTCCTGAGACCAAAATGCTTGAGAATTATTGATCCAAGAAGCACCTCCTTGATCAATGGTTGTCCCCCGGGGGGACATCTGGCAATGTCTACAGACATCTTGGTTTTCACAACTGACTTCTAGTGGTTAAAGGGCAGCAATGCTGCCATACCAACCCCCTTCAAAAAATAATAACAATTATTATTATTTTCTGGCCCAAAAGTAAATAGTACTAAAGAAACCCTATTTCAAATTTATCTGGGGAAGGGGGTGAAATTCACCTACAAACAAGAAAATAGCTGGTGCCACCCCCTAGTGGCCAAATGCAGCAATAGAATCGCCACCAAAAATTCACTAAACTTGCAGATGATGAAATGAGATTTTTTTCCCCTTCAAAAGAATTTCCTTACTAAATTAGGATGCATCTTGTCGAAACCGGTTTGGCTCAGTGGATAGAGCGTTGGCCTACAGACTGAAATGTCCCGGGTTCAATTCCGGTCAAGGGCATGTATAATACCATGGTTTTGGGCACATCCCCAGTGGGGGGTGTGCAAGAGGCAGCTGATCGATGATTCTCTCTCATCGATGTTTCTAACTCTTTATTCCTCTCTTTAAAAAATCAATAAAATATATTTAAAAATAAATAAACTAGAATGCATTTTATAAATATAGTCATATGTTGTATCACCTATTTCAGGCCTAACAGAATCAGAGATATCAGGGTCTAAGAAAAAGAAAACGACAAACAAAAAGGAAGTTATAAAATGCTAACATTTACAACAAAATTCTTCACTGGTACTATATGAAATTGCTCAAATCATATTCTAAAACTGTGAAATTAAGCCAAAGGCTTTCTTGAGGTAATCAGTTAGTACTTCTTATAGTTCTTTCATAAGCTGGTAGAAATAATACAAACCTGCCTTTGCATGGTGTTTACTTGCACGACACAATGACAAATATTAACTAAGCTAATAAATCGGGTCACTGTTCACTTTGCGTGTGTCAGCAAATATTCTCAGAATCCCTAGGATTATCCAGGCCCTGCGTGACTTCAACCCACCTTCTCCCCCCCCCCCCCCCCCCCATTAACTCAGCAGGCATTGGCTGTTTGTATCTAAAACTTGAACGGGATTCGGAAGGAAAATTGTGTCTTCGTCTCGTAAGCCTAACACTATGCTTTTCTTTGATGATATTGTGAATCTCACAAGCCGGAGTCCAGCCACCACCAACCTACCTGCAGATCTGGGGGTCACAATAGGCCTTCTCAATGTTCTCCATGGGCTGGAGGTCCACCCAGGTGTTCTCATTCATCACCTGCCAGCGGTAGGGCAGGTGGAAGTGAACCTTGTCGCACCTTCCTACAAAGACAGAGAGGAGGGCTGAGGGGGACTGGCACCAATTCAACGACACTCCCATCAAGGCCCGCCTTTCCCACGCAGTCAGGACCGCATGCTGCCTGGCTCCACCTCTGCTCTTGCTGGCTGCTGCCTGCGCTGCCCCATCATCACCGTATTTCCAGGTTCCTTCATCACCCACGGAGACTCATCAGAAAACAACTATTCTCCACACCCCAAGAAGTCTCTTTACCCACATGAAGATCCGAGGTTCTCCTAAATGTACAATTTACCCTTTGTATCTCGTCTCTCCCTCCTCTTTCCTTTCTAAAATCAATAAAAAATATTTTTTAAGCCCTAACCGGTTTGGCTCAGTGGATAGAGTGTCGGCCTGCGGACTGAAGGGTCCCGGGTTCGATTCTGGTCAAGGGCACATCCCAGTTGGGGGTGTGCAGGAGGCAGCTGATCAATGTTTCTCTCTCATCGATGTTTCTAACTCTCTCTCCCTCTCTCTTCCTCTCTGTAAAAAAATCAAAAAAACATATTTTAAAAAATATTTTTTAAATCTATGTTATATGTGTTGTATGACAAAAAGAAAAAGAAAAATTTAAGTTAAAGACTTTTGATTTAGCGAGCACAGGGAAGAATCCTCAAGCAAACAAAATCAGACATGATGTCCAGAGCCTGGGACACAGGCAGGAAGGGGAAAAAGAGACTTAAAAGTGAGAGGACAGGAATTTGTCCCGAGCACAGTCCCATGGGAATAATTTCTATTGGATGCCTGGTGGAAGGGGACAGGGACCAGGTACGGCTCTTCAGCTGGAATGACCAACAGATGACTGGGCCTGTGGAGCACAGGTGTCTTAGTATGCATGGCCACAAGAGGGACAATCAATATATAAAAAGGCTGATATGCAAAGTGTCCCCTCAGGAGTTCCACTGGGAGGGAGTTTGATTGTTCATGATGATGTACATTGACCACCAGGGGGCGGCACGGAATGAAGAAAGGCTCCAGCCTCCAGCCTGCAGCAACAGCTGGGGAAGGAAGGCCCAGGCTGGCAGCCAGAAGGCTCTGATTGGCCCTGATAGCAGGCCAGGTGTAGGGACCCTGCTATGCACAAATTTTGTGCACCAGGCCTCTAATGCTAAATGAAATGAACTTTGAAAAGGGTGTCTGCTAGAATTCCTTTGTTTTTTGAATTTGTTGTTTGCTTGTTTTTATGAAAAGATGGGTCCCTGATTGAGCATAATATTTCACCTAAAACTGCATTGTGAAAGAAGATAGTATAATAGCATGCATTGGTGAAGAACACAGGCAGGCTGGGCAGGTTAGGGTCAAAACCCAACTTGGCTACTTGTACATGTAAAGTAGTAACATCTGCATGCCTCCGGGTTCCCTATCTGTAAAATGGGTTAGCAACAGAACCTATTTCTAGGGTTGGTGTAAAGTTTAAAGAAGATGCAAGTAACGTTCTTAGCCTTACGCCTCACAAGTAGTGAATGCTTAGTAAATGTTAGCCATACCACTACGAATAGTTTCTACTTCTAGAAAGACTATAAGTTACTCACTATTTCGACAACCCTTATACAGATGGTCAAGACAAATTTCCTCTGAACCAGGATCATCCATGGTATTTGCGACGTCAGATACAGAATCTGTAAAACAGAAGAGGGTGATATATGCTGACCTTAATTTTAATCCAAAAAGTCAAGGCCCCTGATCTCACAGCGGGGGAGAGAATATCTGAAACTGGGCCATGGTCAAGAAAATTCCTGGTTGATGCTCGTTACAAGCCCTCTTTAAAAACAAGCGTGAATATTAGGGTCACATGGCAGTGGCGCTGACTTCTTAAACCATGGTCAAACCATTCCTGTTCTCAATGTATGTAAGCAGTTTATTCCATACTTTTCTCCGGGTAGGTCCTTCCATCTTCTAAGTCAGTCTCCTTAACCAGGACCACCCCTTAACTCAAACCCTCTAAAGCATAACGGCTGGGAAACATCCTAAGCGAAACTGCCAGCCACAGCGGCTCCGCTGCAGACATGACGTGGGGCCCCCTTTGGTCCTTCAGTGACTTACTCAGCGTGCAGCCCGGTGTCTTCCTGGCAAGCTCGCTGGCAGAGGTGACGGGCATTTGAGCAGAGTTCCGACCTTGGGCCTCCGAGGCTGTAGCTCTGTTGTTTGAGGACGGTGTCAAAGGTGGTACCTTGGGCACAGTGCTTGCTGATGTGTGGGCAGTGGTCTCCCCCAGGGTGTGCAGGGCCTGGGGCCTCAGATTCTGACTTGTATTGCCTCTGATGGCTGATGTGAAGTCAAAATCAAGGACATCAGTAGCGTCAAGTGTAACTTTAGTCGGGCCATTTGGAGTCAAAGGTGGTGACCTGTGCAGAGTGCTCCCTGATGTGAAGGCACTGGTCTCCCCCAGTGTGTGCAGGGCCTGGGGTCTCAGATTCTGACTTGTGGAGCGTAACACATCTTTATCTGCTCTGGCTCTGACGGCCGATGTTAAGTCAAAATCAGGGACATCAGCAGATCCATATGTAACTTTAGTGGAGCCATTTGTTGTGTAGTGGACAGCTTTACTGGCACAAAATACCTGCTCTCTGTGTTCACTGTCATCTACAATGATAGGGTCAAAAGGAAGGTGAGTGGTTCTGATTTCCTGACTCCTAGGTATTGAATTTTCTCTCTGTCTATTGGTTGTGGTGTTGTAAGTCACTGGTCTCGTAGACGTGACATCTGTGGCCGTTCCGTCCGAATGATTATCAGAAAATGGGAAACGCTGGGTGGTACTGCCATAGAAGAGGGCCTCTGGACTGCCATTCTCTGAAAACCTTTGGGTTCCTGTCGCTGGCTCGCTTCCTCCCAGATTGGTGGCCTTGGGTGAGGCCGAGGAAGGAGGAGGGCCATCTTGGCTTCCCAAATGCTTGAACTTGCAGGTGAGGTCCTCGACGGGCACATCCTCCGGGGGAGACCTGCGGCCGGTCGGACCCGCACCCGGTGTGCCGGGTCTCCCGTTTGAAGCTGGGGCAGATGGGAGGAATTCCTGACTGCCATAAAAGAATCGATCTCTGCTCTTGCTTCTACCTCTAGTTGCTGGGTCCCGGTTACGTGAAGGACCTAAGAAAAGACAAAAACAATGAAAAGTAGCATTAAAATGACTGAGTTCAGCCGAAACCGGTTTGGCTCAGTGGATAGAGCATCGGTCTATGGACTGAAGGGTCTCAGGTTCGATTCGGGTCAAGGGCATGTACGTTGGTTGCGGGCACATCCCCGGTGGAGGGCGTGTAGGAGGCAGCTGGTCGATGTTTCTCTCTCATCGACATTTCTAGCTCTCTATCCCTCTCCCTTCCTCTCTGGAAAATCAATAAAATTAAAAAAAAATATGACTGAGTTCTTTTTAACATATATACATGTTTTTATTGATTTTAGAGAGAGAGGGAGAGAGAGAGAAAGCTATCAATGAGAGAGACACTGATCAGCTGCCTCCTATACGCCTCCATTGGGGACTGAGCCTGAAATCTGGACATGTGCCCTGACTGGGAATGAAACCAATTACCTCATGGTTCATGTTCAACATTCAACCATTGAGCCTTATCAATAGGGCAACATGACTAAGTTCTGACCACTATTCCTCTTAGAATTTCCAGGTTTGTTATCCATGTTCTATCAAATTACTTGTGGTGTGTAAAAAGCCTGAGAAGGGCATTGATGGTGATGAAGGCTTCCTGCTATTCCATCACACAGCAGAAAACACCTGCCACCAATGAGAAGGGTCAGGCTGGCCCTGCCTCTCCTCAGCTTCTCCCCTGGGACTCGGATGTAGCTCCCAAACCCCCACACGCTGAGGTGGGGCCATCCACTACGGATATGGTGAATGGAGAGGCAGATAAGTGCAAATGAGGCAGGATTTTCCAAAACTCAGCCAGATTTTGCTCATATTGTGATGTTCTAACCCAGTGTTTCCCAAACTTTTGACATATGTGTACCCCTTCTATAATTTTCGTAACGTTGAGTACCCCTCGTACTCATGAGAACGTAGAATTAGGCGCAGCTAAGCACGGTGCAGTACATACCCCCACCAAACTCCGGTGCTACGCATACCCCCACCAAACTCTTCCCGTACCCCTGGGGGTACGCGTACCACACTTTGGGAAACACTAAATCTAACTAGCAAGTTAAGAATTCACAAAATTTGCCGAAACCGGTTTGGCTCAGTGGATAGAGCGTCGGTCTGCGGACTGAAGGGTCCCAGGTTCGATTCCGGTCAAGGGCAAGTACCTTGGTTGCGGGCACATTGCCAGTAGGGGGTGTGCAGGAGGCAGCTGATCAATGTTAGATTTTCACATTGATGTTTCTCTCTTTCTCTCCTCCCCCTGCCCCCCGTTTTCTCTCTCTAAAAATCAATTATATACATATATATATGTGTGTGTGTGTGTGTGTGTGTATTTTATATATAGATAGATAGATAGATAGATAGATAGATAGATAGATTGATTTTTTTTAAGTAGACAGCAGACAGGGCTCACCTCTCAGCCCGGTCCTTCTCGGGCTGTGCTTGCTGTTGCAGATGTCCTGGATGTTCTGCACCACCTCCCGGCTCAGCCCGTGCTCCCGCATCATCACCAGCACCTTTCTGTCCATCAGGTTATGAGACCGGATGCAGTTGGAAAAGCCACAGTTCCCTCGGGTGAAGTGTTCACAGATGTGGAGTCTTTCGCACGGCTGCTGGGCACAGATCTTTTTTCGGCCTTCTCCCTTATAATCTTTGCATATCTACAGAGGAGAGAACGAGAGTCAGCGGCAAAAGTCCTTCCTGTGCCTGCTACACATTCATTAAGGAAAGTTTGAGTATAGAGACATTTCAAAAGCAGGCAGAGATATACCAAAGGGGGGAAATGCATGCGAATGCCACAGTCTTTAATGACTTCTATTCAATTGATCATCACTTTGGGGCGGAAGGAACCTGCGGACTCATTAAAAGAAATATGAATTTGCTAATCCTTTGGAAGAATCAGAGTAAAATGGTAAGCTACAGGTAGGACCCAACAGGACCCAACGTGAGCCCTACACTACGAGGGCACCTCCTAGAGGAAGGCCCACCTGTAGATATCAATTCATTAAAAAGACAGGTGAGCCAAGACCGGTTTGGCTCAGTGGATAGAGCGTCGTCCTGGGGACTGAAAGGTCCCGGGTTCGATTCCGATCAAGGGCATGTACATTGGTTGAGGGCACATCCCCGGTGGGGGATGTGCAGGAGGCAGCTGGTCGATGATTCTCCCTCATTGATGTTTCTAGCTCTCTATCCCTCTCCCTTCCTCTTTGTAAAAAAAATCAATAAAAATATATTTTTTTTAAAAAACAGACAGGTGGGTCTTCCCTGCAGCTGCTGTTAAAAATGCAGATTCAAGTCTCTACTAGACAGAATGTGGCAAAATTTCTCAAGAGATCCATCAAAGAAGATAATTTTGTGTGTGTATGTAAGTAGATATATCTAGCTCTAGAGATGTCGTTCCTACTGAAAGGAGGGCAGAAGAAACATTATTATGCCTGAGGCCAGGCCCTCTGATGCAGGACTGGAGGACGCTAGTTTAAAAGTCTGCTGATGCCCGTCTGGCGTGGCTCAGTGATCGAGCATCAACCGATGAACCAGGTCACAGTTCCATTCCCAGTCAGGCACATGCCCAGGTTGTGGGCTCGATCATCAGTGTGGAGTGTGCAGGAGGCAGCCAGTCAATAATTCTCTCTCATCATTGATATTTATCTCTCTCTCTCTCTCTCCCCATTCCTCTCTGAAATCAATAAAAATATATTTTTTAAAAGTCTGCAGACCCAAAACCACCTCCCTTGAATTACTTACTCCCAACCTGTTTCCTTTGCTGTACAATATATTTTCTCTCTCTGCCTATAACACATTGTTGAGCAGATTCAATAATGAAATATGTAAATACGTTAGGCAAAATATAATCTTCCTGCTGATGCTGGCACACACTAACACTTGAGAGCCAGTGTCTGAGAGGCTCCAGCAAAAAAAGAACAGTTAGCAAGCCCACAAATAATACGTGGAGGCTCTAAGTGGCCTTGATCTCCACCTTTTTCCTTTGGTCATGCTGACGCTGCCTGGCTCTCGTCAGCCTCCGGCCCGTTCTCTCCTTGAGACCAAGCACCATGCCTTCAATTAAATTGCCAAGTTCTGATGGAGAGATATTTGAAGTTGATGTTGAAATTGCCGAACAATCTGTGACTATCAAGACCTTGCTTGAAGAGTCAGGAATGGATGATGAAGGCGATGATAACCCAGTTACTCTACCCAATGTTAATGCAGCAGTATTTTAAATAAAAGGTCCTTCAGTGGTGCACCCACCACAAGGATGACCCTCCTTCTCCTGAGGACGATGTCAACAAAGAAAAGCTCGACCCCCATACGGGGCATGCAAGGAGACAGCTGATCAATGATTCTCTCTTATCACCGATGTTCCTAACTCTCTCTCCTTCTCCCTTCCTCTCTGGAATCAATAAAAAATATATTTTTTTAAAAAAGCAAAAATAAATAAAGCATTCAATTAGTCTTACTCCTGCATTTTCAGAGTACACTTGCTCACACAGGGCTCCCTAGCAGCCCAGCAGAGGAGACATGCCAGACTCCAATTCTTATAAAACTTCAAGCAGGAAGTAAGTGGCCGGAATCTCTGAGGTCATTCAACAAAAGCCATCGGTTGGTGTTGCCCCACGAGGGCCCTGGTGCTGAGTTTCTTCCTGGTCTTACTCAATCACGTCCACGAAACAACAATGCCAATTAAGTATTCTTCCTGCTTTTTAAACCAAGGAATCCTAACTTACCTCAGGCAAGAAAAAGGGGTCATTTTGGACCAGAAGCACTGCTAATTCTTCTTTGTTCAGCCCAGAGATCTGATGGTGTTTCAGGACTCTAAAGTTGTCTTCTGAGAGAACATCGTGAGAGTATTTGCACAAATGTCTGAGAAAAAAAAAAAAGAAAAAAAAAAAGACAATTGTCAGTATTTCCAATCACAGAAAATTGAAAAAAATCATCCAGGGAACTTTCAGTCATTGGAAATCAAGACCCATATCCTTTGATACTAATACAAGTTGGTCCTGCTTTTTAAAAAAATTCACTTTAAAATATAAATTAATGGCTCAGTGGATAGAGCATCGGCCTGTGGACTGAAGGGTCCCAGATTCAATTCCAGTTAAGGGCATGTACCTTGGTTGTGGGCACATCCCCAGTGGGGAGTGTCAGGAGGCAGCTGATCTATGCTTTTCTTTCATCGATGTTTTATCTCTCTCCTTTCCTCTCTGTAAAAAATCAATAAAAATATTATATATATATATATATATATATATATATATATATATATATATATATATAAAATGGCCCAGTCAGAATGGCTCAGTTGGTTGGAGCATCCTCCATGCACCGAATAATTCCCCGTCAGGGTATATGCCTGGATTTCTGGTTCAATCCCCGTCTGGGCACATTTGGAGGACAGCCAATGAATGTTTCTCCCTCTTCAATGTCTCTATCTCTCTCCATTGAAAGGGTTAAAGAGAATAAAACCTTATTGTGCTTAGGAGATACCTTACAGAAAGCTTGCAGCCTTGAGCACAGCATAGCTCAGATAACCAGAAGGCATCTGGCATGGGAGGAACCAAGGACGGACCAGACCCTCATGTTAGCAGAGCGGCTTGCAGCCAGCAAGGATTAATAAAAACCTCTCTTTCTCGCTCACTTCCCTGATGCCTTTCTCGGTCTCAGCCCTCTTGCACCCAGGTGCTGGGAATAAAATCTCTTTTGATACATTATAACCTCATGTCATAGGTATGCGACCCCAGCCCACTCCAAACCTTTCATCTATCTCCCTTCCTCTCTCTCTAAAATCAATTTTTAAAAACATATTTAAAAAAAACCTGAAGCCAATTTATTAGAAATGACTGCTCATTGACAGACAAAGAATAATGAGGATAACACATTTATGGATTGACTATAGAGTCAGTGAGAAAATAGAATTCCATTTATCAAAGATTTTAATTACACAAAAAGTATCCATTGCTTTATTTCGTTTTCATATTATACATCAGTGTATACCTGTATAATTTGTGACTATAAGGAATGTAACAAGCTCTTAATGGTAGAATTCAAACAAGTCTACAGAAAGAGAGAAAAATCCCTTCACTTTAAGTCTTTGATTATGTAGATATTATAGAATAGAATTTTCTATGACAATGAGATTGTTCTCTCATCCAAGCTTTCCAAGAAATAAGCACTACATGGCTGCTGAGCATTTAAAACAGAGCTAGTGAGACTTAGGAACTGCATTTTCTATTTACTTTATTTTAATTAATTTACATCTGAATAGCCACATATAACTAGTGACCACCGTACTAAGTGGCAAAGATTTAGACCTTGGCTATTCAGAGTGTGGTAGGAGAACCAGCAGTACCTGGGAGCTTGTCAGGAATTTAGAATCGCAGGCCCTACCCTAGTGCTACTGAATCAAAACCCATCTCCCAACAGTTTCTCCAAATGATGGAATCACACTAAGTCCAAGATGCACTGATCTAGATCACTGAGAAGTCCTGATAGCACTGAGAGTTTCATCAGACAAACAGAATTTACAGTTAGCAATGTCCACATAACAAACTCATTCCACTTTTTAATCTAACATGTCACCAAAGTTCTCAGATTTATTGTTTTAATAGTTATTAATATGATGGGATATTGCCCTGGCTGGGTTGCATGGTTGGTTTGAGTATCGTTCTGATATGCCAAGGTTTCAGGTTCAATCCCCAGTTCAGGGCACATAAAAGAAGCAACCAGCCCTAGCCAGTTTGGCTCCGTGGATAGAGCATCAGCCTGTGCACTGAAGCGTCCCAGGTTGGATTCCGGCCAAGGGCACATGCCCAGGTTGCGAGCTTGATCCCCAGTGGGGGGCATGCAGGAGGCAGCCAATCAGTGATTCTCTCATCATTGCTATTTCTATCTCTCTCTCCCTCTTCCTTCCTCTCTGAAATCAATAAAGAAATATGTTGTTGTTTTTTTAAATAAGCAACCAATGAATGCATAAATAAATGGAATGACAAATTGATGTTTTGGTCTCTCTCAAAATCAATCAATAAAAAATATATATATATATGATGGGATGTTCTATTTTCTAATTTGCACAACCATTATCAAATTATCAGGTGGTTAGGTTATGGCCAGATTTTCACTATATAAATAGTGTGACTACAATTACCTTTATACATGCTGGAAACTGATCTTTGTCTCTAATAGAGAAATGTGAAAAGGGAATCCATGAAAGCTGGTCAACATTAATTGCTTTGAAAAGTCGGAGCTAATCACATTGTTTGTTGAGACATTGGTAGTTAAAGCAGCCTCCACCTGGTTAGTCATAGGTAAATTCTTGCTGAGTGTCTATTATTGGAATTTCCTGCCTAAAGGATATGGGTGTATCTCATAATCTTAATAAAAGAGATAGCAAGGCCAGAGCAGTGGTAGTCCTCTCTTGGGCTCTCACCTGGCTCCCAATACTCCCAAATTAATACTTTTCTAAGTCTCTTTCATTTGTGTGCGGCATTCTCCAGAACCCGAACCCTGAACCTGAACCCTGAACCACGCGGATGTGAAAGGGTTCCCACAATACAAATAACCTTCTTTCTGTCGTTATTTTCCTGGGATTTATTCCTTTGGGAGTATTTCCCAAAGGACACAATTATTTTCTTTGCAACCTGCATTTCATTTTGATCTACTGCTCTCCAGAAAAAATAACACACCAATATGTGAATGTGATTATTTCCCCACAAGCACATTAACGTTGTTTTATTATTTTGCTATTTCAAATAGGTATGAAATAGACATATTTTTAATTTGCACTTAACAAAAATCTCCATTTATTTGCCTTGTTTTTATTTTCCTGATTGAGAATTTAAATCTTTCTTTTAATAGTTTTCCTTCGTTTCCCAAATATTAAACACTTATCTGTTGCCACTATTTTTTTAGTTCATTATTAGTAGTAAACATAAATGCAAATGACTTTCAAAATGATCTTGCTGAAACTGATCGTTGGTTTTTAAATGTAAGCATCTAAGGTAAAAGTTACTCTCCTAAGAATTAATCTTTGAAAATCCCTTGTCCTTGTGCTACGGCCTGTGTGTAAGGCATTTCTGAAATTCTCTGGAATTGCCTTCAGTTCTAGCGGTGGAGCCTCGTGAGGAAAAAAAAAAAAAAATCACAGGATCAATAACTGTCAGCCAGGTCCAAACCCTGCAGCCCTCCTACGCACCTCGCCTCTGAGAAGTCAAGGGCAGCTGGCCTGGCTCTGGCGCCGCCTCTATCCCAGCCATTTTCTCCAGCGGCCCTCTCCGCATTCTCCACCGGGTGGCCCATTTCTGGCATTTCTAGATAAGGCTGACCTCAGCTCTCCGCTTGCTTGGGGTTCTGTGGTTTCAGATAACTGCTCCCCAGCAGCCCTCACCACCCAGCGCCCCTCAGCAGCTGGCGAAGCCTCCACCTTCTCAGGCCCTCGAGCCCCGTGGGAGGAGGTGACCTGAAGAGTATTCTGGAATCCAGAGGAGCGAGCCCTTTGCCTGAGGATGGAGAAGGGAAACGGGTAGTGAAACTGGTCCCCCTAGTCGGGCAGCGTGGAGGACCCTGCCAGTGCAGCGTGTGCGGGGTGGGCTCTTCCACAGGCAGCCTGGCTGGGCTTGGAAAAGCCTGGAACGCAGGAAACAGAAAGCCTCTCCATCACAGCGTTACGATGTGTGTGAGCCTCATTCCCTCACAGGGCATCGCACTCCACTGGCCTTGGCATTAAGGGTCCTCTGGACATGGAGCTTAAAATAACCTCATTGAACACCCCACCACTAGCTGGACAGGTTCAGTCTGCCCTCTGCCTGGGAGATAAGTAGCAAGCGTTGATCAGAGGGAATTAAGATCTTTCCCTTTAGCTCCAATCCAGACATCCTGGATGTGAAAGGGGTTCCCACAGCCAGGACTATGGCGGCACCAAACTAGGGTCACGAAAGAGGACCCAGCCCGCTCCAGGTCCCAGCGAGAGGCAGTTTTGGTGACAACAGGGTGTCTGTCACCTCCTAGCGGAGGAGTGGGGCACTTCCAAGGTCCCCGAAGTCAGTATTTCCTCTAAGCCAGTGGGCGGCAAACTTATTAGTCCACAGAGCCAAACGTCAGCAGCACCACGATTGACATTTCTTTTGAGAGCCGGAAACCCACTTCTGCGCACGGGCCACGAAGTTTCAGTAGCACTGTCCGTGCGAGCCCGCGCGTGGCATTTTGCGGAAAAGCCACACTCAAGGGGCCAAAGAGCTGCATGTGGCTCGCGAGCCACAGTTTGCCGACCACTGCTCTACACACTACAGGCAGCCAGGCAGCCTCCTGGGGACTCCTCTGTCTGGAAGCCTGTCTTCCAGGCTTTTCCAAGCCCAGCCAGGCCACTCCTGCCTGCGGAAGAGCCCACCCCGCACACGCTGCACTGGCAGGGTCCTCCACGCTGCCCGACTGGGGGACCAGTTTCACGTCTCGTTTCCCTTCTCCATCCTCAGGCAAAGGGCTCGCTCCTCTGGATTCCAGGATACTCACTCACCTTGAACCCAGCCTCAGTCTGCAACATCTGCGTCTAGCCTTGGTTTCTGTTTTGTTTTTTTTGTTTGTTTTTTAAAGATACAGTACCTGTCTTTATTATTATTATTTTTTATTTTTTGTTTTTTTTACAGAGAGGAAGAGAGAGGGATAGAGAGAAACATCGATGAGAGAGAATCATCTATCAGCTGCATCTTGCACATCCCCCACTGGGGATGTGCCCACAACCAAGGTAGGTGCTCTTGACTGGAATCCAACCAAGGACCCTTCAGTCCACAGGCTGACGCTCTATCCACTGAGCCAAACCGGTTTTGGCTAGCCTTGGTTTCTGACCTGCAGCCCCCATTCCCCGGCTCCCTCTG